TTCTGCGGCATGACGGCAATTTTTTTATTTTTTCCTGTTTTTTATTTTTTCCTATTTTTATTTATTTATTTTTTAGAAAAACGGGTGGACTACCAGCATGAGACAAACCCTAGAATTAATTGCCGTCCCGATTTCTCGTATCATATGTGTTTATCTGTAAAATCGGGACGGTCAAGTTCTCTAGTTTATTGCCGTCCGAATGGCACCCTCCCAAGGGTTTTTTTGTGGGATACATTTAAACAAAAGTACTCATAAGTTTCCTAAGAAATTCGTGTCAGTAAAAGGAATTTTGGCAACTTGTGAAAGCTCATATCATGCATTTTTTCAGCATGGCAGAATATACGAGGAGATACGGAGAGATTATAAGTTTATTCACATTGGAATTGAACAAATATGTTCATTTAATGGCAAGTCACTAATTTCAATTTTGATAACGTAGGTCATGCCGCAGACTGGCAGATTAATTTTTGGTTCAGTGCATCGGTATGATATCATACATATCCTCTGAGTGAGTTTATTCCCATCTTGTTGATAAAACCGGTATTCATTAAACGTAACTTCAGTATTGCATACACCATTAAACTTTTCTTCAAAGAGATTCTTTTAGTTTGGTTAATTTTTTGAAGAGCCTAATTTTTTACTCAATTCATTGAAAACTACTTTTGTCTCTCGAAATTTCCAACTGTTTATTTTTGGGTGCAACTTATTCTTGAACATTTCGGCAGTTTGTTAGTGATTCGACGAATCTTATTGAGTCACTACTGTACTTTTTGGCGCATTTTTGAAATATTAAAACAAATTAATTTATGAAAGATACGATGGTCGTTGAAAATAAATCTAAATAGTTGTGTGCAAAAAAATATGACGAAATTATTACTGAGACTTCACGACTTAAAATTGTTGAGTCCGTTCTATAATCGACAAAAAGATACTCCGTCAAGCACGCGTAACTATGACATTGTTTTGTGGTCTAGACACCTAAGGTCTTAAAAGATTATGATTTCTCATATTTTTTAATTAATTAATGCTCAAACACAAATATTCGCAATTTCCAACGATAATCATCGTACCATTACCGTCTAAAGTGTCTCACGTATTTGAAAAAATTAGAATACTAACTAAACTGACAACACTAATATTCCCGTTATCACGAAATCACTCGTGTGAATTGTGTTCAATTATTTTCGCAAACTTGAATCGATTTCGTTCGAGCTGCTAACGGTATTTTTTTGAAGTTGGGCGCAAGAAGTTTGATCAAGAAAAATAATGTATTTGTGTGCGTAAATATTTTAAATAAAGTATAATGGTGGTAAGTATATTAATTAATTGTCTTGAAATAATCATTGAATTGTTTTTTAAATATTTCAAACGGCTAGTTCACTAAAAAGTCTAAGAAAGTACGATTTCCTTCTCATGATTAACGTTATGTCATAGCACATTAAACGCCAAGAACGAATATGTGCCTCGATTATTTAAATTTTTAATGAATGATCTTCAGCTGAATTAACTATCCGATGGATTGTACCGATAACAATTGGGACGGTGGTGACTGAAATCACCCTAACTGCTTCAATGTTGCCTGTTTTCTTTTCATGGTTTATTTTTACAGTAAAAAACTTCAGGATACAGTCTACCTCAAACCTCGAACACTTTCGTGTGCACATTCTTCGTTATCTATGTATAAAATACTCAAGCGGCTTTCATGTGTTCTTAGTTTTTTAGTTCGAAAAATACATATAACAAAAGGGGAATTGAATAACGTGGAAACAGTTCAAATGTTTTTTTTTTTGTTTTTTTTTACTAAAAAAGTTCATTTATAACTTGTTTTATTCCAGAAGAAAGTAATGGATGTAGGCAAGTTTATGCTCGTTGCAATATTCTGTGTGGTTGATGCTGCAGATATTCTAATCATTAGCGCAGTTTTGTCCCACAGCCACGCTTTGTATACCAATGTCTTGACTGAGGCACTAGCCGCTAGAGGACACAAGGTAAATAATATTTTTTATATTTAGAGATTGCTCTCGGACAATTTGTGGAAATTGGAAGTCCTAACGTAGGCTGTAAAAACATTACTTGCATCATTTAAAGCATTTAAGCTCAAAGTATTCTTGATAGGTTCTTGGCGAAAAATATTCCCAATCACTTCCTTTCGGCTAGGGGGGGGGGGGAGTATCACAATACGGCCTTCTCCCTTAGCACGGCGGCATAGTTCCCTATACATTCACAGTATGAACCATAACCATTTGGACCGCAATAAAGGAGCAGTTTGAGGAGCGGCCTTAAATCATTGTGGTCAACATTTTCGAGGGATGTTGAGCATAAAAAGAATCCTATATGATGTAGTATTAATTTTTTTTTTTTTTGCGATATTCTTACATCATTCTTTTCTTGTTCCATAAACATCAAGCTCGTGGTATTGACTGCGGATGAGCTAACGAGCAGCTCTAAAATAACTTCCATCTATTTAGAGGGAGGTTATGATGCCATTGGAAAATCAATTCCTGGTTTCCAGGATACTTTGGAGAACTTCAAGTATTTATCCTCCTCCACCGAATCGTTCATCGGCAACACAAACTGGATTTTGAAATTTAACGTCGAAAGCTGCAGAAGTCTTTTATACTCAGGTGAGGTTTCCCTTTGCCTTGTTCCACTTCACTCTTCTCTCTTTTGAGAGAAAACAAAGAAGAGCGGAAGATCTTTGCGGGAAAAAGAGAGACTCTAGTGGTGACCAAATTCCAAATGACACAGCATGATCTCCGGGAATAAATTATTTGTGTAAATTAAACGGAGAAAATTTTATTGAAGTTAGGAAGATCACCTCACCGCAAAGGAAATGGCATGGCAAAAAACAAGGCACCCTGATAAGAGGACCTTTGTCGTTGCTTATCAAAGTATCATCCCGTATTCCTATTGAACGCTCTCAATAATGTACCGCGTACGAGAACCGTGAGAATGCTATGCTAGAACCCCTTCAATTTTTACAACAGCAATGCGCACATCCGTTGAGCATGTATAATTGCATCTTAGCGTTGGCCTAGGTAGAGGCTTTCTTCTGTTTTATTCAGGGTAATACTTCATTTCCCTCCCTCTGCATACTTTTCACCTATAGAGTCATTAATGGCTTTTGAAACAAACAAAAAATGACTAAACAGACCTGATCAGTGTCTCATTTTTTTTAACGCTTTCCAGCTTCGCACGAAAAAAATAAAAAAAAAACAAATCACCTTTGAGAATTTTCCAGCAATTGAAATTTATGGTTTAAGTGCGGGCCGATAAAAACTTGAATTTAAAACTGTATATCTCCTCCAAAGGATATAGGAACCTGGAGGATCTAAAAGTGATTACAGATTGCTCAGCAAGAATGCCTCTGCAAACGAGAGAAAGTAAATAAACTTAACTTCAAGTTAATTTTTTTCAAAAATATATCAAGAAAAATGTTCAAAAAATTTTTGAACTAACTCGCACGTAAAAATATAAAATTGCGTATAATAGATTAAGAATAATTTTTACTATTTTTACGTGCAAGTGAGTTTAAAAATGTTATTGATCATATATCTTGTGCGGGTCTCCAAACGAATCTTGACTAGAGATGTGTAGGATGTAAGCGTAATGTCAGCGTAATGCACCGGAATCCATGCTGTGGTTCCATTTCATTTTATCTGTTAAATAAATCTTTTTGTAAAATGGCAGAATCTTAATAGTTATAGCTTTATATTTCTACTCCGCATTTTATCCATCGATATGTCTATGAACTGCCAAAAAATGCATTTCTCCTCTCGTCTATGGTTTCCACACTTATCATAGTTGTCTCAATGCCTGACACGAGTAGGTACCGGAGTACCCTCGCCCTGTAGAACTCTTCGATAACCAAAAAAAAAAAAAAAGAACGTGGCACGACTTACAATTCGAGCAACAGTCATTTACACCTGCCCTTAGAAATATGCAATCGTAGTTCGAACAATCTGATTTCTGGATATTCAACACCAGTGGCAAAGCATTAACTATCGATTATCGATATTTCCCCATTTGAGGTAACAGTAAAGAATCGATTATAAAAGTGTTCGTTACGAACCTCATCCGATTATCGATCCTTTTCCACAGGATTAAAAGGCAAATGAATCGATACATCGTAAAGCACGCCACACCACTGTTCAACACCCTATATTTTCCACGACTCTTTACGAGCTTCCATATCACCGGATTTCAAACCGGTGATTTTGTGTTTACATTTCAAAAATGATGTCCAGGGATCCGATTCTCGCGACTTAATATTACTGAATAAAAAGCCACAAGAATCGAACCAAAGTTTAATCGGTCATCGGCTCAGGCGTGCCCCCCCCCCCCCCNAGACCTGAAATATTAAAGTGCGTGTGCTTCTTTCCTAATCTTAAAATGTTGACGAGTGCGTAATTATCTGACATACAGATCACTTCAGGTTCGGTGCACAGATGCATCACGCATGCATTCTGAAAGAGTTTATTGCCATCATGTTTGAACTGGGACTAAACGTAACTCAGGTATTGCACATATCATTTCACATAGGTCCTTGTCTCATGGTTTCAATACTTTTTTGAAGAATCTTAATTTTTAACTCGATTTGTTCAAATTGCATTTTTCTCCGGAGCTTTTCAATCGGTCATTTTCTCACATAATGCATTCGTAAAAATTCCATCATTTGGCACTCATATTTCGATTACCTTTGCAAACTTTCCTAAAGCAATTTTCTTCGCGCTTCTGTCAGTTTTTTTTTTTTTGTTCTTCTTTTTAACGGGTGTGAAAATGTTGATCATTTCGAAAATCATTATGCTATGTGTGTAAAAATTGTTAGAGACTATAGTAGAGACAAATACACACAATATTACTTATCAGTGAATTTTTCATTTAAAGGTTCATTTTTCTTAAATTTTCGACAGTCTTTGAACACTCCTCGTAAATTATTATATTCCAGAGGAATGCAATTGCCTGTTTCAAGTTCATGCTTGTTACAGTGCTTTGCGTAGCAGATGCTGCAGATATTCTGGTCATTAGCACAGTTCTATCCCACAGCCATGCTTTATATACAAATGTTCTAACTGAGGCCCTAGCCACTAGAGGACACAAGGTAAACAGTTTCTTTATTGCTTCCAAAATTTCCTTTAAAGACCTTCGGAACTTTCGATTTAAGGAATAGCGAAGAATATCGCAAGTTTTTGGATACTTATCATCATTCATACATCATTATATCATCATATATTATTTTGGACACCTAACTACAGGCTGCATCGAAGCTTTGCATAATATAGAGCATCAGAGTCCGAAGAATCTTTTAATGACGCATTTAAATACCGCTACCAACATGTTTAAAAAAAATGATACAAAACTCTTGAAAATTGACACCTGCTTTAAAATGCTGCATTAAAGACCTCCTAAACCTCCCACATTCACAATATACCACAGGTGCGCTGTAAATTACCTGTTTGAAAATCGTTACGCGCAATCTGAAGTCGTCCTTGGTTCAAATGTTTGGTGGATATTGAGCAAAGAGACACACATAGACTAAAATTTGTCCGAATAAAAATTATCACCCTGGTAAAAATTGGCAGTAGAATCGGTGTTCCAAAATACCATCGACTTAAAGCCGGCTGTAAGATTTCCAGTAGCTTCTGTAGCCGGCTGTATAATTTCTTATAGCCTTTTATAGCCGATGGCGATTAAGCATTAGCCAGACGATAAAGTTTATGCTAAACGTTACTAAATACGTATACTAGGACTTAGTGAGTTTTTGGACTACCGCTCTCTTTTTGTGCCGTAGTATATATATTATATGCCTTGATATATTTTGGGAGGAAAGCTCCGTGCTGTTGAATGATGCCTGTCATTATTAATATGTTGGAGCGCCTTCAATTTCTCATGATAATGTGCAATACCTCTGGTGTGAAATAGTTGCTTCAAACGCCGTGGCACGCTACGGCGCGGCGGGCGGGCAGTGAGCGCAAAACGCGCATTGGCGCCTACAAACCTAACAGTGATACTTCACGCATTGCGCAATGCGTGAAGTATCCCTGTTAGGTTTTTAGGCGCCAGTGCGTCGCCGCTCCGCTTTGTGTTAGGCTCTAATATTTCATCTCGCGGAGTCAGCGTTTTTCAACTCATGATTCTGAAATGTTTGCACACTCTGTATGGATTACTCTCATTTTAATTGATGAAAAAAAATGTGTTTTAAAGGAAAATATAATGTGTGTTTTGTAAACATTAAGGTAGTTCCGTAAAAAACTTGGTGATTTCCAAAGCACACGAATTTCTACACAATTTCTTATAGCCTTTTATAGCCAATTACGATAAAAGGTAAAGCCCGGCGATAGAAACTACAGCCCGACTGTATCCTTTTTTATAGCTTCGCATAGCCGGGCTATATGATTTGCTCCGCCTTCTACAGCCAGCTATATGATTTTCTATAGTTTTCTTTAGTTGGTTATAAGAACTCCTATGGTGTTTTGAAACGCAGCTCCTATCGCCAACTTTTACCAGGGTTTTGATGACCATTACATGAATCAGTGAGAACAAAAATACACCAAATCGGTAACTCGTAAATCCTCAATTTCATTGAAGACAGTCCATTTCCCCGAAGGTCATTTAAGTTGGCGCATCTGTTACAACTTGGACCTTTAAAGTGCGTCCTTAAGTATTTTTCTTCCGGCACCGATCATATTTTTCTTAGACTATCTTCTTCGCCTACTGCGCAGTTTTCGTGTGTGTCTGATTATTTTCATTTTTCCGAGTTAAAGTGATTCCGTTCTCGCTGATTCATATATTTGTTCTCTTGTTTCAAAAAAAAATCAAGCTTGTCGTATTGTCTGCGGATGAGCTGAGGAGTAGCCCCAACGTAACCTCCATCTATTTAGAGGGAGGTTATGCTGCTCTGCGAAAAGCACGACCCAGTAATACCTTAGAGGACTTTAAGTATTCTTCCTCCACTGAATCGTTTATTCGCAGCACGAAATGGATTTTGAAATTTAGCGTCGTGGGCTGCCGTAGTCTTTTATTTTCAGGTGAGCGTTGCCTCCTATTTAATTATCTGTAAAATCTTACGTCGAAAGGAAAAAGAAAAGAGGAAAAAAGAATACAGATGTTGACAAAAGTGAGGAGCATAATTCAAAGAAAACCTGACGAAATTTGTGCTGGATTCTTGGTGCATTACGTGAACATAGCCGTCCTCAAATTTGGTGCAAAAAGGAATCAATCGGTTCCTTCAGGGTCCCTCAGCCAAGTAGCATTTCTACATGTATGAATGTAGCAGTCGCATCGTCAGTCATTGCAATTCTATTGAAAATATAGTTAAGTTATATAAAAATACCTAAGTACAGTTTACACTGTAATGTCAGTTTTCGTATATTGATTGCGATGTTTCTATCTTTTCAATTCAAGACACAAAAATTACTGAAACTTAAGATTTCCTATCTTCGTAGTTTTGGGCGCGAAAGTTATCTGCGACGTCTCTGTAAAATAGTTTTTAGTTGGCCTTTACTTCTTACATTAGACACTGGTGAATAATTTAGAAATATTCATGGAATTAAAAATAGCATGTAAATGAAAAGGAATCACTCAATAACGAAACATCATGTTTTTCTCACAGAGGGAAACAAACAGTTTTATAAGAGGTACAAAAATGCCACATTTGACTTGATTATTGCTGATGTTGCTGGTCCCGAGTGTTTTCTAAAATATGCTCAAGTTTTTGGAAACCCTCCAATCATTGGTTACACGGCTTTTTTCTCAAGACACGCAATGTTTTTGAGTGACTCGGAAAACCCAGCGTACATTCCACACTTCATGTCAACACTGACGGACAGTAAGTACCAAATTACATTAGGTTTGAATTTGACCACGTTGAAACTTTCCACGATAACTTTCGGGTGCTCCTTTTGTTTGGTCGAAGACAAACTAAAAGTTCATCCCAGTAAAGAGCCCCGTGTGTGCAAATTAAGAGAGGCAATATTGGGAGACGAGTGGAAAAAAAACCAAACTTTTTGAGTAAAAATTTTGATCAATAATTGTCGATGACGGTTCGTTCAGCGATGAAGAATTTTCTGGAGAAAATAACTGCTAATGATACGGAAAAAACGTTTACTTTTGCCACGTATTGATTTTGTTCAGTAATAATTCCTTTGGGATGGTAATGTGTTCTAATATGAGAGCGGAAAACGATATTGTATTGATTGAACGTTTTAAATTTAATGTTAAGTGGCACAATTATTCTGTTTCCTGGATGTGAAAGACCTTTTTCCCTGAGAGAAATGTCTGTGAAGCCATTGTAAACATAATGCCAGTTTGTCTTCTTTTTGTCACGATTATGAAACTTGCAAGTTTATTCAACTTTTTTCTGAAAGTTGAGAGCAATCATTTTGAAACGTAGCGAGAGAAAAGTCCTGCATAGCCGAAAGCCGCCCACTATCGTTGAAAAAATTGATAAATCCACGCAATTTTTTGAGGTGCGGTAATGTTCAAAGAACAAAAAAAACCTTTAATCAAGTGAACAGCCAGACTTTTTATCTCAGTTTTTTATTACTCATTTCCCTACGAGAAGAAGGAATCAAACGACTACGTATTCAATCATATCGTAACGTGTATTTTTTTAGCTTAAAAACCACCTGCTGCAAAGTATTGTGATCCTAACTGAAAATTATTGCTAAATACAGGGATGAATTTTTGGGAGAGGCTCATCAACTGGTTCCAGTACAAGTATTACGACTTGAAGCGACATTATTGGATGTTCCCTATTTTGGAGAAAATGTCCGGAGAATTTTTCGGTATCGTGGAGCCGAGAATCGAAGAACTGGATACGAGACTTTCACTAGTATTGGTCAACGATCATTTCAGTATGACACAGCCAACGCCCTTAGCTCCGTCTGTGATCCCGGTTGCCGGACTCCATATTAAACCGGTTAAGCCTTTGCCCAAGGTTGGTAGGAATAGGCGGCATCCGCATCCACCACCCCAAAAAAGAATTGCTGAGCCCCATTTTTTCCCTCAGCTGCTCTATTTTAAGTCAAAGAACAGTTGGAAGACAATTTTCCGAAAAACTAAAACATAAATATTTACCGTCTTTGATACAAAAATGTTGGGATTTTTCATAGTTACACTCTGGAGAATTTTCATGTTTTAATGAGTGCCTTGTGCAGTTTTGATAACACACTGCGAAAAAAAATTCAATTACAAAACTAAGGTCGTTTTCTTAGTCGTCCCTTAAACCCTTTCCTCCATCAGCGGCGATTCTTAAAATTTGGTAACACGGATTTTCCTCCATTTAAACGTATTTAAAACAATCGATTCTCGGTTATCGAAAAACCGGTGATTTTAATGGATTTAAATGGAGGAAAGACGGTGTTGCCAAATTGTAAGACTCGCCATTGTGACTAAGGGAGATTCAGGGAGGTCCTGAACACAAGAGGACAATTTTTTCTCATTTCGAGTAAAATTCAGCTGTAATAACTTTGGAAATCGGTCCTTATTGAAAGGGACTACGATTATTTGATTTCTCACTGCAAAAAGTAAAAAATAGGGAAGAAAAAATTCTATAATTTAGACAAACATTTAGGTAGGTGCACGCCTACCTTAGGATTTACAAAACTTTGTATTAAATTTTCTTGCGTATTAGGTATTTGTTGTAGTGGTAAATTATTGAAATGCCTTAAAAGGATCCGTGATCAATATTATACCGTTAAATGTTACTCGAGGTTTCCAAAAAGTTTCTATTTTATGATGTTATTATGTTAAGGATCTCCTTGAACCTCTCTAAACCATACGGTAAATCAAATATGGCAACCCCAGGAAAGGAGTTAATTGAGGAACGACTATGAAAACGACCATGAACCTCACTTCATATGAAAAACTGAAGTTTTCGGTTCCAATAACTAAAGTATCCAGTAATGATATGCGCCTAGAGATGCAAAACTTTGGTTACCTTAACTGAAATTTGGTTCGTTTGACCAAATATGTCAGTACCTAAACTGGAAACTTCAGAGTTTCATGAGAACCGAAGATGTTTTTTCCGTGCATAAGTTGCTGGTTAGTGCTGTTTAGAAGCATATAAAAGCCAAAGCCTTGGTTACATTTTGGTTCCTTACGTTTTTCTTAGAGGGAAGTTCAAAGTAGTCGGTACCCCAATAGTTTTTATCGTAATCATAGTATATTGAGCGTATTCTTTAGGTGTCCTACACTGTCTTACTGATTCAGTGTGATGTACTAAGACGCTGACGACTAAACAGTAGCCTGAGTCCATAATCCCACATATCTTATAAAATCCGCAGAACATATTGCATCCCTGGTTAGACAAGAATTAAGTGCATTTTGATTAGTGACGTTCAAACGTAGTATTCTTTACGAGAATTATATGATCTTACATTTCGAAGTACCATAATCTATGAATCAATCTAAACTGAACAATGCTGTGTTACAGGATATTGAAAAATTCATTTCTGAAGCGAAGCATGGCGTCATATATTTCAGTTTAGGATCTAACTTTTTTAGCAATCGCATGGAGGAGGGGAAGAAAAGGATGTTTCTGGATGCTTTCGCTCAACTTCAGCAAAGAGTTCTCTGGAAATACGAAGATGACACTTTGTCTAATATTCCTCAAAATGTTATGTTACGGAAGTGGCTTCCTCAAACAGATATTTTAGGTAAGAATCTGACTGAAACCTGATTGCACACATTTAAGCCCCCTAAGTCACACTCGAGTAACTTTCTTTCGAACAATCTAAAATTGCTTAATCATAAAAGAAAACATTCTCCGATTGGCGATTATTGTCTCAATCGATTCAATTGCAGTAGATGGTTTGAATTCCTGCGAAAATTGTTTTTTTTATGAGACCTTTTTCTGAAGACATATGTTTTATTAGAGACCTTGCTTTCCTATCTTCCATTTAGTGTACAAATTATATTAGTAAGTACTCGCTCAAATTCACGTGGCCAAAATATCGAGGGATTTAAAAATCCGACCGAGGTAACACCAACTTGCCTAGAGCTCACACCGAAATTCATCGATCAACGTCAAGAAAAGTATATGCTCTACTAACAAGTTGCTCATCGATCAGCGCTAGTTAATATTTAGCATTGACCTTTGGCTTAGTTTCTGTTTTACCCGACTAAGGAGCTTAATTTTGCAATGCGCGCCCTTTGTACTGCCGTGCTAAGGAAAAACACCATATGCAACTTAAGGCGATGCCAAATTTTTTCTAATTTTTCTCTTTCTTCCTTTTCAGTTTTGTTGGTATTTTTTCAAACGTATTACGATGGGTATTTTACTTGTATTTTTCTCTTACAGCTCATAACAATACAGTCTTATTTATAACGCATAATGGATACCTGAGTACTCAAGAGTCAGTTCATTTCGGAGTTCCTATGCTGGGCATCCCGTTAATCCTAGACCAGTTCAAGAACAGTGTACGCGTATTCAAGAAGGGAATTGGGCTGAGCTTGGATTTGAATAAGATTCATAATTCTCAACAAATACTCGATAAGATAAAAATATTAATAGAAAATCCCAGGTACATACTATCAATTTGAAGTCTCAAATTCATTGGCTCCTAAAATTATACACATTAGCTGTTTATTTATAAGAGAAAAAGAATAGCCACTCTCATTGTCCCTCCTTCTTTTCTAGTCACGTTCCCATGTTTCTCTCTAGGTATTTCTCATTTTACACTTACTTGCACCATTGATAAATGCCATTCTGGATTAGCAACCGGCTGCGATTCTCTTAATTCACTGCAAATTTAACTGAATGATGGATAAAAATATCTCATATATTATCTCAATAAAATCAAATATAAGTACTAATAAATAAAAGTACTAACGATGGATACCTAAAAGTGATGGCTACATTTTTCGATGGATGTCAGTATAAGAGGTCTGAAAAGCTGAAAGGATTATATTGGACGATGCTGAAAAATCACATCAAAAACCTCAATGTGAGACCCTGTCACAAAGAAACGTGCAACATGGAAATAATTTAAACCGGGTAAAATGACTTCTAGGGGCCGTCCATAAAATATGTCACCCATTTTCCCCGACTTTTTTTTACCCCTCCCACCCTTCTGTCACCTACATGTCACATACTTCCAGACCCCCCCTCCCTAAAAATTACGTAATTTCAATGGTGAATGGTGATCCTCCCACCCAGTTTCCTTAATTGTAGGGTTGTTGTAAACATTTGCTACAATTGTATCACACATTAAATCTCACATGATAAAAATGACTGGAAAATAACGTTGAGCACTGTCTGTCAGATAACCCCAGAAATCTATAACAGGTCACTAGATTTCGTGGAAAGCATACCTATCGTGTATAGCCGGGTAGTCAAGCAGCCAACCAGGCTATTTTATGCGCGTAATCTAATTATATCCTTTAATTTGTTACAGTTATAAACAGAACGCGCAAAAATTATCAGCTTTTTTCAGAGATCGACCGATGTCACCTTTAGATACGGCCATCTACTGGATAGAATACGTGCTGAGGCATAAGGGGGCAAATCACCTAAAGCTTGCAGGGTTGAATCTACACTGGTTTCAGTATTATCTTCTGGATGTCTATCTTGCTATATTGATAGCATTTTACACATTGTATATTGCTCTTGCGAAATTGGTAGATCTGATAATTAAAACGCAGGGATCTCCAAAGATAGAACGAAAAAAATTATGATTGCCATCTCTTGAAATCTTCAATAAAATTTTTAATTTGGAATCAGTTATATCTATTGTGTAATTAACTCAACACGATTGCTGATATAAGTTTTCAAAATGTTGAGTTTCGATCAAGAAAAATTAAAATGTGTGCAATAAAATGCTACCAATATAACCTCTTTTTCATTGAATTCTACACCTTCTCGGAGTTTTTATGAGCGATGGTGCATGGTATGTGACTACATGGCGACTAAAAAGTCGGTTAAATTATTTCCCACTTTCATTATGTGCGTGCATTAAACCACGCTAATTGGTAAAATTCATGAGCGTTATTGGGCGTGTGAACCTCTCTGGCAAAATGTCCTCTTCGAGGGAGACCACTAGAAAAGGTGCATCACAACACTCTTCCTCTTTTATCAAAGTCCCATGCAAATAATTTGAAGAATACAGGTAGGATAAGAAAAAAAAGAAAGAATAGAAAAGAAAAGAACACTAAACGGCGAGGAAAAAGTCTTAATGGTTTACGCTGTAATCTGTCAATTAGAACTTCCCGCTTATCAAACCTGTAAATACCGGAATTTGATTACAAAAATACAATCTAAAATGCTGTCAAAAATTTAATTTATAAGGCAAATCTAAAAGATATCAAATGGACTAGGCACATTTTGCAATTACAAACTAAAATGTTTGGCTCATTCGTAAAAACTGGTACGTCTACTGATGATACGTAACTGATGATACGTGCGTTGTTTTTAAGCTGAGCCAGAAATTGTATTTCCCAATTGCGGAATGTAGTCCAATTACAATAATTACTTGTCGGCTAGATTATTATCAACATATTCTTCATACAGCCAAAGAAAAAAACCACAACCTGTGAAAAAAAAATCGGTTAGGTAAACCGTAAAGTTCGGTGTTCAATATCGGCTGTACTGCTCGGTTCATATGACCTTTCTCAGTTCTGGGAACCGAATCTTCGGTTAAGGTACCGAGCGCTCAAACCAAACTGAACAGTGGAAAAAGTTCGGTTGGATGAACCGAGGATACATTTCCCAGAAACGAGAGTTCGGTCAAATGAACTGAACAGTACGGCTGATATTGAACACCGTACTCACCGTTCATAAGACCGAACTTTTTTTCTCAGTGCAGTAAATATATTACTGAGATTGGGAGGATAGTTCATCAGCACAGGCAATGTGACAAGAGAGGTCGACCATCTCATCGGAACATCATCTTGTTGAAGACTTTTAAAGGGGACACCACATCAAGACCGCTGGATGCCGCGCCGTGCACAACAGCCGGCCGCGGGCACGCGAAGTTAAAACGCCTTCAATTTTTCGATCAGCAACACGCGCATCCACTGAGCATGTATAGTTGTATCTAGGCGTTGACCTAACTAAAGGCGGACGGTTTCTTAAAAAATACTTCACGGTAATCAGTTAAACATTACTGTAAAACTTTATGACAAGTTGAGTGCTGTGAATACGGAGCATCTACTTACGTAAAGCACACGTAATAATTTACGCAGCCCAATTATACATATATAGGAGAAATGAAAGCTAAAAACGGGGTACAGGCTGTGAATAAAACAATTTGAACGGGGCGTTTCGGGATTAACATGCCCTTTTTCAACCGCCGATGGAAAAAAAACAAAAAATTAAAAACATGTATGAGCCGCCGCTTAACATTGAGGCAAGACTTCTTAGTCTTAACCCATTGATTAAATCAATTAAATAATAATTTTAAATTGACACAGATGCTACGAAAAAGGAAAAAATAAAAAGTAAAGGGAATTCTCTTTATTGATGGAATGAGGATTAAATTATGCAATCAGAGAGAATAAAACAAAAACATGAGGGAAATTTATATGCAATGTAACTATAAGAAAAGAACACAGGTGGATTGATAGCGATTCGGAACTCGAGTTATATACAATCGTTGAGCAGTTTTTAGATCAATTCGCCACCGATAATCTTCTTAAGAAATAAAGATGAACTTTTGCTACTTCATCGAGTCAAATCGCCGATGGAGATCCACGGTTGTCACTTTCCTCCACCCGATGGGACTGACGTCCCGGTTCAATGGGTTTTTAAAGAAAACGCGTTCCTTTGCGCGGTTCCACGGCTGCGCGGAACACCAGCAAATGACGAGTTGCAATCATGAGTTTAAACGAATTTCAAATACTATTTTTGTATTTATATTTAACAGTGATTTATAAATATTGTTGAATAAAATTTAACAGATTGTGGATTGTTTGTGCGCGGTTGGGCTTTGGTTTTGCGTCTCCATTTATGAATTCAGCAACATCTCATTAATGCGAAGGAACTGCGATACAGATAAATAGTGTTTTTATTTATAATTAATCTAATTGTACAGCACTAGTCCGGAGTCTATTATTGAGCGTGACTCAGTTTACTTTGATCTATCACGGAAGAAGGCAGCACCTACTGGCCGATAAGTGATAAAAACATCGTTGGAAAATCGATCGGATTAACAACAAGTACCTGGAACTTCAATCAAGTACGTACTCAAATTATTCTATACTATTTCTGACATTTTAGTCCAAATGTACATAAACTGCGTGTCGATGGCCAAAATGCGAAACCACGTGTTTCCGTTTGCGACGTTGCAGAATTCCTGTCATGCCTTATTTTCTCTTTGAAAAATTAGTCAATTTAAAGTCTCAAAAATATCCTTGATTGTTTTTCGCTGTTAGTAGAATATAAACTGTGTAAATTTCAAGCCATACAGTTGGCTTGTTGATCTTCAAAAAATCAGTAATATAGTGGAGCTTTTGGAACACCGCGATGGAAATAAATTATTTTGCAATTTGGTCGTCGATATGTGGCTCGAGGAGGTGGGGCTTTAATCCATGGGGGAAAAATTTTCTGTTAGATAAATGTTTGCCGAGTCGGGTTGAAAAATCTGGTTTTGAAATTTTGTCAGAAACCTTTCTCTAGTATTCTAAAAACTAAAGTTGCTGGTGTGGCTCAATCCAAAGAGGGTTAAGCTGCATTACAATCAAGCGATTATATACTCGAGCCATGGCAGATTCAAACTTTGAATTTCACTTCTTGGAAACCAGTACTTGGTTCAAAACATGATCTACGATTCATTCGGTTAATATTTATTTGGACGGAGTTAAACAGAAAGGAACCAAGCCACATCGGGATCGAACCGAGAAAAAGAGGTTTAAAGTTAAGCTCCTGCATAAGACTCAATGTAAAAGATAAACTTCAAGTTCAATTTCTGCAAAATTTGCTCCAACAAAAACTTTGAATTTTTGGCGATAGATAGTAGAGCAGTGGTTGAATTCAAAACCACTCATAACTCAATTTTTTCCAAAATGTGGGTTGGTTCCTTTCTGCTTAACTCGGTCCATTTTTCATACACAAGCATGTAAGAGTTAGAGTCCATGTGACAATATTAGACAAATTTGCGACAATCCTTCCAATTTTCATACGTTTTAGAAGAATGGCGATGAATTATTGATCAATAGTGCTGTATACGAAATTCGGAGATCTGCAGGAGATGTAACCAGTAATATTACTGATTGCGTAAAAACCACGGAGATTTAAGAAGTGTGTCATCGCATGAGAATAATTAAATCGCGGTATACACAAGGAAATTCAATCTAAGAATCCATTAAAAACCTCAAAGTGGGTCAAAATTTCATTAATTTGAAAATTCTTTATTACCCGAGGATGATTTTGTTACAGATGAGGTGGTCACTGATATGCACCATTTTACTGATTTTCTACACTCAAAATATCAAAGCGGCTAAGATTCTAGTCTTGGCTACAGTTTCTTCCCACAGTCATGCAATTTTTACTAATGCCATTACCAGCGCACTTGCCGCTAGAGGACACGAGGTGAGTATGATTTTGAAAAAAAAGAAGGGAAGGGGGGATGGCGAAATATTTCTAAGTTTCAAAAAAAATGTTTGAATTCCAGATTTACCAATATTCCGTCACGTTGACGTTGAAGAGGCACATGTGACGTTTGGGTGTCACAGAACGGCCCAGTGCGTTGTAGGAGCGACTTTTATGTTATGTTACGCTATGTATATACGCAAGTACTTATACAGAAAAAACCTTAATCTGATTGTTATGAAATTTAAATGAGCCTCAGGTGGTTTATGATTCCCTCTCACCTGATTCTATATCCTTCGAGTTGCTCTTTTCCATTTTGAACGCATCTCTATCTAAACTCAGAATATAATCTCGATAGAATAAAGTACTGAACTTTATTTCATATTGAATATACCGAACTATTCCGGTTTAGGTGATCGAAATTCAGGGATTCAAGAAACTAATTTCGGTGGGCCAAATCAGTGCTCGATTTCTGGGACCAAAAACTTCAGTGGCGAGGCGTGAATGATCGATTTTCGATATTTCCCCGATTGAAATTGTGGTAAAGACTCGATTATTTAGGAGTTCGTTGCCAACATCTTCTTTTTCGATCCTTTTCCATAGGTTTTAATGGCAGATCAATCAATGTATCGCAAAGCTCGCCACGCCACAGACCTGAACCAAAGAAGATCGGTGTTCGGTAAGGACCGACATTATTTTTTCTTCCACGTAACATAACACCATAACGCAAACCTCTTATACAACTCTCATTCGGTGTATGCCTAGTTTCCTCGACGCTTTCCAAATCTGCATGTCTTCCATATTCTTAGAATGAATAATTCCTATTTTTCAAATTCTTTTTTTTACCTTCACAGCTGGTCGTTCTGTCTCCAGACAAGGAAAAGCGTGCGATCCGAAACATAACAACGATCTATCTCGAAGGCGGTTACGATGATGAATTGTTCAATATAAATTTGGAGAAGATGCCATCGTCGGAGGGGCTTTTCGATTATTTCGGGATGTATAAAGAATTCTCCACGGCCACATGCCAAACTCTTCTATTCTCCCCCGGGAACAAGAAGTTTCACAGGGATCATAGAGATCACAAATTCGACCTCATTTTATTCGACATCGGTGAGTAATGAGCTCTGGAATATATCTTCTCGAGTAAATAAAAAAGTTGGAGCTCTCATCTTTGTTCAATCAGTCAAACTATTTGAAAAAAATAACTTAATGCGAAAAAGCGGTCATCAGCCATAACGGCTAAATTCGTGGATAACGGAATATAGTGTCAATTCTTTAAGCCGAAAACGCGAATCTCGGTATTGCTGCATTATTTTCAGACAGGGGAAAAAAATATTCAAAATTCTGTTGACGCCTGAACAAGCATCTCATTGTAGCTATCCTCAAGAACTATTTCGATGGCTCAAGCACGAAACCACGTATCTCTATTGTGGTGTCTCAAAATCTCCATTCCTACTTTATGTTTCCAAGGAGGAACAATTCAACTTTACAGCTTGAAATTCATACAGAATATTCTGCTATCGAGGAAGAAAAATCAAGGAACTTTGGAAGAAATTAAATGGACTAGCTGTATTTCCAAGGGAAAAATAAAGTATGACAAGAGAAGAAGTCTCCAACGTCGCAAACTGAGATAATAGCGGTTCCGTGCTTTATCACCATGTTTTTGGCTGTTAATCTACTTACTAGGTGAATGATGAGCTTTGGTTGACGTCATGAGCTTAAACAAGATTCCCAAACTTCGGTTCAACTTGTCTGACTCTAGACCGGTAGGTCCCGGTTTCGAACACCCGGTGATGGCGACAAATTTTCACGGTACTGACGGGTATCTGCAGAAACAGGTTCTACTCGACCTTAATCCCTGAAAATTTGCCACGCCGGAGCATGGATGTGCCAAAATCCTCCTGATGTCTACTGACACTGAAATAATCTCTATGTTAAAAGTCATGTCTGTAGATGACTGTAGATTCCTAAGTTACTAAATAAAAAATAATAGGAGCCGCAAACAAAGAAACAAACGAACAAAAAAACTTTTGTTTGTTTACAAAACGAAAGTTTCAACACGTTGCGAACCATCGACATGGTGGGTAGGTCAGCAGTTAAATGCTAAAGTCCAGAAAGTAAAAGATTACATTGGCAAGATACCAGTGGAGCGTCACTTCGTCCCTGATTTTTCCTGATTTTCACGCTAGGGATTTGATTTTCCAGGTTGCTCGGAGTGTTTCCTGAAATACGCCCACGTCTTCGGACACCCTCCGATCGTGGCCTACTCAGCCTTCTTCACGATCCAACCCTACAACTTGGGCAATTTTTACAACCCGGCCTACGTGCCCCATTTCGCGACCGGGTTTGGCGACCGCATGAAGTTCAACGAGCGGTTCATGAACTGGCTCTACTACCAGTACAATAGTTTCTGGCGCCGGTATCTGTACCTGCCCGCCGTGGACCGGATATCCGATGCGTTTTTCGGGTTCTCCGAGCCGAAAATCGCGGACCTCGAACGGGAGATCTCGTTGATGTTGACCGATGACCATTTCAGTATTTCCCTCCCGAGGCCGAACGTCCCTGCTGTTGTCGATGTTGCGGGACTCCACATCAAACCGGCCAAGGCTTTGCCCGACGTAGGTTTCAAAGGGGTCTTATTCTTTAAAGGGTGATTTTATGGTACGGGAATGGTAATTTTGGGATCTACGTGGGAACGGGCCAAGGTACGGGAAACACAGGTATGCTCTTCCTAGTGTTCGAAACTCACAGGCGCCAACGCGCCAAATGCGCCTAAAAAATCGGCCATGGCGCTTAAACAATGAAAGGTCTGCGCCAACGCGGCCCCTAAAAATTGCCTTCTAATAATCTGGATTTTCACAGGAAGTCACATAAAGAAAGAATAACAAATCTATTTGAATTGAAAAAACTCCGAATTTTCAGTACTACAAGTGAAAAAGCTTGCTTTTTCTATTCTTCACAATTTCACTCTCAGTGCTTTTGTCTTCCCCAAATTACAGCTACTTACTAGTTCCGTTACAAAAATACCTTGCTTCTAACTTTTCACTAAATGCGCCGAAATATATAGGCAAAAAGTCAATTTGGCCGCTAAAAAATCTTCAATGGCGCCTAAAAATCGGGCTTGATGCGCCACACGCCTCCTAATACTCAAAAGTGAGTTTCAAACAATGGCTGTTCCCGACCCATTTGGTCAGAACTTGGCTTCTGCCGACTCCCGCTGGTAGAGCAGTGGCGCGAAATTTGAAATTCAACAACTTTGCAATCTTGGCCGAAAACAAATATCGACTGTCCGCCTTCCATAAAAAGACATTTTACAGCACACCGTTTCGGTCCCGGCTATTGTGTCTAAAAATACGTACCATAATAGTACCATATGTCAGGAAACGTTAGGCTCGAAATCAGAAACGATCATTATAAGAGCTAAGGTTCTGTTTGCTCCATGATTGAGCGAACCGGTTGCACTACCCACAAAATCATGGTTTGATTGTTTGATTGATAATTTTAATGAGATCACCACAGAAAATGAAGATCCGTCATCACCGGAGGTATGCTTTGACAGGAGGAATCATCGAGCTTATAGCACTGAATATTACAAAAATAAAAAAGTCTAGAGGACGTACCTATTTATCACCATAACTACATAACTATCTATAAAAGATTGTAACTTTAAGTTTACTCGAATTGACAGGACTTGAAAGAATTCGTCGAAGGAGCGAAGCATGGCGTTATATTTTTCAGCTTGGGCTCAAATTTTCTGAGCAAACATATGTCTCAGCAAAGGAAGCAACTGTTTCTGGAGGCGTTCAGCCAACTCCCGCAAAGAGTCGTGTGGAAGTACGAGGACGAAACATTGCAAAATCTACCCAAAAATGTTCTCGTGAAAAAGTGGTGCCCGCAAACTGATATTTTAGGTGAGGAAAGGAAACGCATTAGTCAGGATTCCAAGTTCGGAGTTTTTCCCTACACTGCCGTGCTAAGGAAGAACGCCGTATGAGCTTCAAGACGTTGCCATATTTTCTTTGATAAAAACTAAATTTACTGGAAAAATTGTTAATATTTTTATCCAAAATTTTTAGACAATTTTCGTGAAATTTAGTCTAAAATAACTGAAAATTTCAAAGGAAAATGTGCATACATTTTGTCCAAAATATATGTTTTATGAAGTGAAATTTGGCAACTCTCGAATGTTCATACGGTATTCTTCCTTAGCACGGCAGTATACGGCCCTTATATTTAGAGCAGCGAGTCAAAAATAGACTGAAAAAGACAATCTCGGCAAAGTATACATCTTTAAAGTTAGAGATACACTAGTTCGATTAAAATGACATACCTCCTGCGTGTGTCATTTAAAACAAGGACAGCACTACCTTGCGAAGGAAAAACGCCTTATGAGCTTTCAGACGTTGCCAAATTTCCTTCAATAAAACCTGAATTTTCTGGGAAACATATCAATATTTTTTTAACAATTCTCCGGGAAGTTTTTTTTAAATTCGATCTTAAATATTTGAAAATTTACAAGAAAACTACTCGTGACTTTCCCCAAATATAAATGTTTAATCGGAGGAATTTCGGCAGCTATCGAAGGTTCATACGGCGTTTTTCCATAGCACGGCAGAATTCCTCAACCGATTTCTGGATCAGATCGTTCAATACAGCAAGAAAAAGCAGTATCACTGTGTCTAAGTATGATAAAATCTACCATATTTTTTTCAGTGGGGTTGAGCATCATTTAATAGCTATTGCTCTCTGTCTTTTGTAGGCCATAACAATACGGTTCTGTTCATGACCCATAATGGCTATTTGAGCACCCAGGAGTCCATCTATTTCGGGGTTCCGATGCTTGGATTGCCCGTGATCGTGGATCAATTTCAAAACAATGCAAAAATGGTCAAGGCAGGAATTGCGCTCAGGTTGGATCTCAAAGAAATTAATAGCCCTGAGCAAATAACGAATAAAATTATGACAATATTGAACAACCCAAGGTGAGAACTCTTATACTGAGACATAATTCAAATTGAATAGCCCAAGTGCTCAACGCTATTACGAAATTTCAGGTTTTCTTTCTAAGTGATTTTTGGGTAAGAAAAACAATAGCTATAGTGCGTTTGATAAAGATGTTCCTTGTTCATGATTTACTGCAAGGCTGCGCCCCCTGTCCGCTACGCGGTCCAACCCCGAGAAAAAGAAGACCGTTGCCATCAAAAGATTCCTTTTAAAATATTCAACGGCTATGTCATGTCATTTACCAATGACGATTCTTTCAAGTTGGCAACACTGTTTTTTCTCCATTTAAATGTTTGTTAAACAATAGATTCTATAGGTGAGGCAGCCTGCCTCATCTAGAGTCAGACGTTGATGAATCAAAAATTCTGACTTTACGAGTTTGAACAATCATGCAAGACACAGTGCGGACGGCGCGCGGCGCAGAACGGGTGTTAGTGCCTGCAAGACTACATCGATACTTCACGCATTGCGCGTACGGTCGCGCCCCGGCGCGGAGCACATGTCAGTGCCTGCAAGCCTGCCTGGATACTTCCCGCATTGCACGTACACCACACCACCACACCATCGCCTCATACTACCTGTGTCCTCCTTTCTATAGGTTTGTCTATCAATTTCAATAGTCAGCCCGCTGGTCACGATCAAACTGGCAGAGTACTGACGCATCCTTACAGTAAAAGGTTCAAACTGTTTCTTAATTTTAGTTTTCTTTATGATTTTCCGCAGCTTCCGGGAAAAAGCGCAAGAGATGTCGGTGCTTTTCCGGGATCGGCCGATGACTCCCCTGGACACGGCAATCTACTGGATCGAGTACGTGTTGCGGCACAAGGGAGCCAAGCAGCTGAGGGTGGCCAGTCTCGACTTGGCCTGGTACCAGTACTACCTCCTCGACATCTATTTCCTCATCGCTGTCTCAGTTTTCGCACTATACTATGTTCTTGTCGCCTTTTTGCGAGCGATTTTGAGCGATGAACCGAAAGAAAAAGAAGCGTAAAATCTCCTACTACTTCTATGTAACTTCTTAATTAAAATGATACGCGAATTAGCACGATTTAAGTCTAGGTCTATATTGAAGCGTATCACAATATCGACGGTCAAAGTGCGAATCCGCCTACCTCCGTTTGCGACGTTGCCAACATCCTGTCGTACTTTATTTGTTCATTGGGAAACTAATAAACATAATGTCTTTAAAACTCCCTTGGTTTTTCTTCTATGTTAGCAGAATATTCCGTAGAAATTTCAAGCTATAGATTTGACTTTTTCTCTCCAAAAAAAATAAAAGAAGAGCAGAGATTTTGAAACACAGCAATGTAGAAATCGCAAAAATATATAAAAATACACCTATGCTTTGACTGAAATCAACCTAACTTATTCATACCTACGTTGCCTAGTTTTCGCACAAACGTGTTCATGTTTTGCTTGACAATAAACACATCTTAACATGAATTCTGTGAGTATATTCTTAGATATAATCCAGGGGATATCCACAGACAGTTTCAAAGCGTTATTCTTACAAAATAAAATACAAGTGTGATGTCTTTCAGTTTAGTGTTTAAGTTCCTAAAAAAAATCACAGATGCGCATGAAATATGACATATTCATACGGGGAATATCAACAACCTTGAGTCCACGCCAAATAATTTACGCACCTCTAGACTGCAAGAGGAGATCGCCTGAAGTCACTGTTACGTGTAAAGTAAAGGCAAGAGGCAAGATGACAGATCGTCTGTAGCAGTCTAAAAGTGCGTAAACTTATTTGGCGTAGACTCTGCAATAACTTCAATTAAGAGCCCTATAAGTTGTCTAATTCAAAAACTAACTTCCTTCATCGCCTTCTTTTTATATTATTTTGCATTACCGAAAAAGGTAAAGGAGGGAGGAGATTTAAGTACTGTCTGAAGGTAAAATAAATATAAGGGTAGGAAGGATGCAAAGAAAGTTTACGAAAAGATGGAAATGAATGCCAGAATATATCCCCAAGACTGGGTCGAGTACTGCCGCCCCGTGCTAAGGAAAAACGTCGCATAAGCATTCGAATGTTGCCAAATTGCCTCTCAGGAAATATTAATTGTTTTAAGAACTGTATGCATATTTATCTTGAAAGTTTCTGACACTTTAGATCAAATTACGAACGAAATTACCTATCCGAAAAATTTGTGCACATTTTCCCCAAAAATTCGTGATTTATCAAATGAGATTTGGCAACGCCTGAAGGCTCATAGGGCATTTTTCCTTAGCACGGCAGAGTAGAAGGGAGCTCGAAGTCTTGTTTGCTTTTGTTTGTTTGTCTGCCCCTTCTACCTTGTTACACAGTAAAATGTACATGTAAGGCCGTTAATAGACCATCGAGGTGAAGTTTCCCTACGGACAAACTTGGAATATGATGAAACAAGAGAAAATGAAAGTGCACTAATTAAGTCGGGTACGCATTATGACTAACAGCGGAGTGTAGTTTACTGAGACTAAAAGCCGTTGCTACTTTTGAGCATTCAGCATTCTTTGATGGGTCGGTGCTTTACCACCGGCCAATCAATCGGACTTATGTGAGGACGAGATAGTAAGTAGATTAATAGATTCGTTATTTAGGAAAAAAATTGATCTCTTGAGTATGGTTCTACATGATTTTTGGCTAAGTCATATAGTATCATGTACATGAAGTAAAAGTATGCTGCGTGAAAGAATACATCATGAAAGTAACTGAAAGCCTCGGCACGAGACTGAATGTTTAAAAAGTTTTGATTTCTCAGTTGCCTCGTGGAAGGAGATTGCAAAAGCTCACAGTAAAGTTGACGTTACTGATTTAAAAGACTATGGCTGATTTAAAAGAAAAATTCCCGTGCATTCTTGACTACTTCTTGATTGCCTTGTCAGTCAAAAAAAAAAAAAAAAAATCCCTCCAGATTTTTTCACGTGTATGTACAATTTTTGAAACTTTAGGAGAATTTTGGTGAGCTTTCTGTAGAAATTAGGAATATTTTTTAGAAAGTTACAACTAACGGCAACATTGTTAATAGTAGGTGGACAAGATGGACCTTCATTTGTAGAGAAACCAGCCAATAATCTTAAGTGAGGACAATGAAGTTTCCTTCCTTTTCTGTGTGCTATTATGGTAATAGTTTAAAATTTGAAATAATGCAACACGTATATCTGCTTCCACAATAGAGCAAGAAGGATTTGAAATAAAATTGTCTAATAAACAAGCAGTTATTTTCACCTGAACCCGATAAAACTGGAAAAAAACATGTATCTACTTTCGCAATACTTATATTTTTAAGTAATAACTTGTCAACCTTAACCTGTAAAATTGAAGGGGAAAAAAAGATCCTATAATAAGCTGAACGAAATAAAACGGAACTACGCTTTTGTTAAGCTACAACAGATTTTAAACCTTCCTAGATGAATTTACAAAGCTAGAATCGGCTAGAGTTAGGAGCACAAAACTTCCAAGTCCTAAACCAAAGAACAGAACCACAGCAGGTGAAAATAAAAATCATGCGGTTTAAGCTGTGGCGGTGAGGTCTTAGATCACGAGTGTCGGAGATCTTGCGATTCCGGTTTTTAGCAGTTTTGTCGGATGCGCCCTGCACATCAAATGCACGTTTTCGAATAACGTTATGATTTCAATACTCCTAAAAAATAATTCATTGAAAATGTAATCTTGTTTACAACAATCAATTAATTGGCTCTATGCCATCGTCGACATTCCCTTGTTAAGAGGCAATTGTGACATGAGTAGATAGTGTTTTGTTCATCACTTATTTTTAATTGAAAACGCATTCGTTTGAAGTGGAAAACCGTTGGGCTTGACTCAGTTCACGCAGATCTCTCACGGCAGAAAGTAGCGTGGTGCTCGATTAAAAGCAGTGTGCGAAAACAGCTAATATTGAAAGTAAGTAAATAACGTTCACTTTTGATGCGATACTTGTATGTCAAAAATATGAAGCTCATTGGGTCCGCGTTTAGCAGAAAGAAACGAAGCCACACCAGTCATTGCCAAATTTAACCGCGCAATTTAATTTTCTGAAAAATAAAGTTTGCGCTGATTCCTTTGGATTTTTATGGAATTTGCTTCATAATAAGCTTTGCACAAAAACCCGCACAACTGTTTTCAAGTAATAAATTTAATTGCCCAATTAAATTTGGAAATAGCTGAGGTGGCTTGGTTCCCTTCTGTTTCCATATCTTCACCGGAGACAAGACGGAACGACTAGCTGAAAATCTATTCCATGGACACCGTCAGGTGTTATGTTACCGGTGCATGGTTTCAACAATAGTTCAGATTACTCACATTTGTACAGAGAAAACCTGATATGGTCATGTTATAAGAGGGTAAAAGGTTGTGAGAACTTTTCCGCGACAAAATTTTTAATTTTCTGATTTTAAAACAAACGTTAACGGAATTGAGTGTCATTTTGGAAAAGTAATTGACGACTCTTTTGACTTAATCTGCTATCAATTGATACATTTAAAATGTTGGTATCTTCGAGACACTGTATTTACTTTAATTTAAAGTAAATCTCCTATTTGATCAATAAACGTTTTAATTAAGGTTTAATTAAGGTTTAATTCCACCGAGGCCTGATTTACGAAATTGAACCGAAAAAGAGGGTTTGAAAAAATTAAAGAAAATAATAGCGACATGAGCATTATTTTCAACGCGAATGAGGGGAAAAACAATTTGCTCAGAAACAATACTGCATCGACAAAAAAGAAAAGAAAAAGGACAGAGACCAAAAAAAAAAAAAAACACTTTGCTTCATGGAAAAAGTAAAAGACGATTAGTCATTAGTATCATTTTGGATCATGTACATGGGAAAATCACCAATTCCGTCTAAAATCATTTTGGATTGATTTTTATCAAGTTAGTTTTATTAGTTTTACAAATCCAATAGGCTTTATCCTTTTAACAGATTGTTTAATTTGAACCGCCGAAGTGGCTTATTCCATTCATCATTTTTTTCTTCGCACGAAGAATAGCGATTCTTCTATTCCGTTCTGAGCTGAATACTGAAATTAACTGTTACTAAGGAGAATGAGTTTTTCTGAAATACGAATTTCTTTTAATTCTTATGCATCAAAAAGTTCATTTCAAAGACTCAATATTGTTTCAAAAAGGTAGTTGCACGGTTGTTGAAAAAATAATTCATTCCTTGGATGTTTTATTCCTAACATAATATACAAAGAAAAAAATTACAACTTTTCCATCACCACCTGATAATTTTATTGTTTCAGATGAAATTGTTGATAATAATCATCACATCACTACTGAGCTGTGCCCATTTTGTAAATGCTGCTAATATTTTAGCGTTGGCTACAGTCTCCTCTGGTAGTCATACAATTTACGCTAACGCCATTATCAGAGAGCTTGCAGCTAGAGGACATAAGGTGAGTTAATGCCCTTGGGAATAAGAAACAAAAAACTAAGAAGACGTGTAAAGATGCCTTAAAACGTAAACAGGTTCATGCTTCCTATTCAATGAGTAGCGTCAGATATACCCCATTCAAAACACTTATCTTGGAAGGCGCTCCCACAAAATGTATCCTAGACAACCTCTTGAAATCCAGCCTCATCAGACAGAGTGTGTCTCTTGCCTCATTGTGAGATTGGACTCAGATATTTGCCACGGCAATTTGAAAATCGATAGCAATTTTCATAAAGAAATCGGGCAACACAACAGCCATCGACGAAGCCAGGCATCACATTACCATCATGGGTCTTACTAAAAACAACGAGACCAACAAAATGTCATTCAGAAGATCATGCTCACCGTATTGGTTTTGCTAGGGAGAAAACCCCGAAAATCCATACGGAGCGAATTTTGGAGAGATTTAAAGAGGGAAAACTTGTAAAAGCTCTCAATCGTATTACAATGACCTTGCAGTGTGTAAAATGTTTCATTTCCTCATCCTTGGATACCTATTCTCTTGATTTTTCAGAGAAAAATACTTTGACGAAAATAGGAATACCTATCTTTTCTTTTAATTTCAGGTTTATAAGGGAAACACTAGGGTTTTTTCCAAAGAAAAAACAATAAATAAATCAATGTTCTTAGATTTTTTTTACTTATATTTTTTTCAAAATCGAGTCAACGCGATCCTAACTTTTTAGAGTAATTCGATATCGGAATTTAAGAAAAAAGCGACGAGACACTCAATTTTTAAAACCGATTCCCCGATTTTTCCCGCTATTATTCTTCCTGATGTATAAAAAAAGTAAGTTACAGTTTTTCAGTAAGTTGGAATTTTTTATAAATCATAGTTATCTTACTATTCGCCTAATTTTATTATTTTTCTTGTTACTTTAAATTTATTATCAGTTTCAACTATAGTCATAATAATTGAAATTAAGATGATTGGTTTGATAGGTCCTTAAAACACCGTGGTTAACCTGTCATTGTTTAAATTTACTTTTTCAGCTGGTGGTTTTGTCGCCGGACAAAGAAAAGAAACCAAACCCGAACATAACTACGATCTACCTCGAAGGCGGTTATGAAAATGAGGTTATGTTCGAAACCACTCTGGAGGATTTTCCGTCATCGGAGGGTTTCGTCCAATATTTCAACACGCTAAACGAATACACAACATCACAGTGTAAAATTCTTCTGAATTCCCCAGGAAACAAGAAGTTCATTCAAGATTACAAGGATCACAAGTTCGATCTTATCCTATTTGACTACGGTAAGTAAAAGTGCCCTTTAAAATGCCCAGCAGTCATTCGGGAAGACTCGGCCAATTTTTTTTTCTTTTCTGTTCTTATTTTTTATTTTTTCAAAAATCAAGACAAGAGATAAGTTTGATCGACTTGATATTCTACAAATGTATTCTCTAGTGAATCAGTAATTGAATCAGAGAGAACGAAAACACACCAACTCGAAAAATGAAAATAATCAAGACGCACAAGAAACTGCAAGTAGGAAAAGAAGTTAGTCTAAGAAAAGGATTTTTGGTGCCGGAAGACAGGTACTTCAGGACACCTTAAAGTTCCAAGTTGGAACAGATGCGCTAATTTCAATGACCTTTATGGACATTAACTGTCTTTAATGAAGATTGAGCATTTTCGAGTTACCGAGTTGGTGTGTTTTTGTTCTCACTGATTCAATTGGTAACTTTAAAAATCGGAGTTAAAGTGAGAAAATAGCTCATTACAAAAGAATTGACAAAAGCGCAGAGAGTGTATGAGTACGCAAGCTTCATTGTGCGCTTGAACGCAACCATTCGGGCTTTGGGGCTTAAGTTGCATATATGAGAAATTGAAGGCACTCTAGCTTTGCTGTCTTCTCAGACATACGGTCGTTGCGAAGCGCGATCGCGCGCCTGCCTCTGGAGAGTGTTCCACTTGTATTTCTCACAGGAAGCTTTCGTATGGGCTGTCCATAAATTACGTTATGCTCTAGGCAGAAACAAGAGACCCTCCACTGGCCTCCTAGCGACAGGTGGAAGCTTTTACTTTCGGGGTTTCAACAATTCCTTACGGACAATTACTAGGGAGCAACAGTCATCACCCTAGTTTCGGCTGTTGACTTACCTACATGGTCAATGATGAGCTTCGGATGACGTCATGAGCCAAACAACTTTCCCAAACGTCGGCCATTTTCGGCTTGTTTGCAAAACGAAACTGCCAACACGTTGTTGAACATCAACCATGTAGGTAAGTCAACAGTAGAATGCTGAAGTCCCGAAAGTAAAAGCTTCCACCATGGCCAAGATACTAGTCTGGCTCTAGGATGGTGATGGGAGGATTGGGGGTGTATGATGAGGTGTGTGTAAAAACGAGTCTTGCAAGTTGGAAAAGGTATTTTTCTTCCATTTAAAACTAATTCAACAGACATGAGTCTTAAGGCTACTAACATTCGCCACACGAGGACGCAACAGAAATCAGCGGTAGCGTCATTTAAAGACACGGAAAAAAGGAAAACGAGCAAAATTGATCGAATGGACCACTAGACAGGGTCCGAATTTAAGCAATCTGACACAAGTTTCTTAGCCAGAATTTCCTCTGAAACCAACTCCTAACGAAGATATTAACGTTTTTATTTCACATTTGTTACGAGGAATTTCAACTGCCCGCTCACAAGAAACTCAAAGCTCTACGTGAGTCAAATCGCGCACGACAACGGTTTCAGCAAGCTTCTCAATCGAGCAATGTTCATTTCCCATTGTGTCGTTCAAACTATCATCAATTTGCTGTAGCTGAGCCAAAGCGTCAAGACTGAGGTTGCCAGATTTTTATGTCGCAGAGACTATCGTGATAATGTTTAGCGCGCCATGTGAATTACGTAGAGCATTGAGTTTTAATGAGCGATTGGTTTGAATTCACGCATCAGGAATCATTAAATATCTTTGTAAGGAGTTGATTTCGGTAATTTTTGTTGTGCGCATCGTGTTTTACGTGAAATTTTGATTAGGAAACATGTATCAAAATGCTGAAGTTCGTACCTTGTCTGGTGATACATTGCTGAAAACTTGATTTTTGAACGATCTAATCAGGTATTTCAATTACGTACCTATTTTTGTATTCGCTTATTCAACTCACCTTATTTTTAAAATTTATTATTAAAATTAATGGGTATTAAATTAAGTTTAATAAGTTAACGTAACATATATTCATTGAGCGCTTCATTGATTCATTTCTTTACTCATATATTATCATGTTAGGAGTCGTGTCAGGCCACTTTGCCTGAAATAACGATACTGGAAATCGGGAGAAGCCCCCGAAAATATGTTCCGTATTTTTTCACAAATTTGAGAAATTTCACTATTTTGTAGCATACTGCAACATTTTTGACACTTTATCGGCACTATAAACACTTAATTTCTGTACAAATAAAACTTTTTCGACTACCGATTGTAGTAGCTGATCGAGGGAGCGAGAGTCGTGATAATAAATGCGCTGGCGCGGCTAGAGTACCTGTATAGGGAGAGTACCGACAGATCGGTTCATGGAGGGCTTAGGGCCCAAAAGTGCAGCCACCCTTCTAACCAACTCCTTCAAAATTTCACTGCCAGTCTGCAGATTCCAATTCTAACCAAGATGGCCAAGAATGTACAAAAATGAGCGTTCTTCCGCGAAATTGAGTAAATTTATGCAAAAACTGAGTCAAACACGTGCTTAATAAAGGACGGTTTGTAACAATAGTATCAGTAAATCGCTCTGGATAATTGAAATTCATAGGTTGGCTGCCCTTTTGAGCCCTAACTTTATTCGCGGAGGCATCGGTGAAGGCCTGATGGACTTTCGGAGTTTCAGATCTGTCGGTCCTCTCCCTATACAGGTACTACTCTAGGCGCGGCTATCTTCACGCCGAATTTTTAACGTTTCCATGCCAGTTCAGTCACCTGAAGATGGGCGGCCTGCCCGAAATGGACATTGTGCATAAAGAATAATAAAAAAGTAAGTCATCTGACTACAATCGGTTGTCGAAAAAGTTTTATTTGCACAGAAATTTTGCGAAATTTCCTGAAATGTTTCGCTGAAGTTTCGAATCTTCTATATTTCCCGTTTCACTTGTGGGACCTTGGATTTATGACAGTGATTTCCACTGGAGCTCCTTGCCCTTATTAATTTCCGATCTTAAAATCCGCAGGTGTGACGGAGTGTTTCATAAAGTACGCCCATGTTTTCGGGCACCCGCCGATAGTGGGTTTCACGGCTTTCTTCGCCGTTTCGGCGTACCAGCTGGGCAACCACCACAACCCGGCGTTCGTGCCCCATTTCCAGAGCGCGGCCAGCCCTCAGATGAGCTTCCCGGAGCGCTTCATGAACTGGGTCGTTCATGAGTACTACCTCCTCTGGCGGAACTACATAAGTCTGCCGAGTATAGACGCGGTGGCGGACGAGTTTTTCGGATTCTCCAAGCCCAGCATCGGGGACCTCGAGCGGGAGATGTCCCTCATGCTCACCAACGAGCACTTCAGTTTCACTTACCCGAGACCCAACATCCCTGCTGTCGTCGACGTGGGCGGACTCCAGATCAAGCCACCCAAACCCTTGCCCAAGGTAGAGTCCCTTTATACTGAGAGTCAAGACAATGTGAATCCATTTCTGATTGGTTCCCGGATTTTAGGCCTTCACAGTGTCACAAACGGGAATAAAGATTACATTTTCACCGACTGCAAAGATTATATTCTGGAATGGACCAGGGAATTACGGGTTCGGCAAGGAACAAACGGAATGAGAGAGGGAACGGAGAAGGGAATTTGAGAATGGGCCGATCAAAGATTACGAAAAACGTCCAATTTCTGTAATCTTTATTCCCGTTTGTGACATCCATGAGTTGCGTTGTCTTGACTCTCAGTATAAAGGGACTCTAGCCCAAAGTCCGAAGGCTTCCGACATTTTCCACACTGAAAAAAGTGGTATGTTTTAGCACCTAGGATGTCAAAAAAGTGTCTAGTGATCCTAAAATGCGACCTCGATTGCCCACGCAGTTGAATTTGCATTCATAGGATGTAAAGTTAACTGCGAGGGCAGTAGAGGTTGCATCTTGGGATCACCAGACACATTTTTGACATCCTAGGTGCTAAAACAGCATTTTATTTTGTTCAGTGCAGTGGAGAAATACTATAAGGGGTTACGCAGCCTGGCCGCTATGCGGCATAGGGTGCTCCGCCCCGCAATTTTTTTTTTTCGCCTGAACCCTTAGAACTTCTTCTTTCTTAATTGACTGACTGAAATTCCGAATTTTAATAGCATTCCTTTGAAAATGTCATTCGTTTCTTCTCCTTATTTCAAAGATGAAAAGAAAATCTATTAAAAGTTGGGAGTTCAATGAATCAAAAAGATTACACGTCAAAGAAAAGAAAATATTCTAAGGATTCAGGCCCAAAAAAAAAAAAAAAAAAAAAAAAAAAAAAAAAAAAAAAAAAAAAAATGAAAATCCATTCGGTAGATTCTGAGAAAAAATCACACAAAGTGTTTTGATTTCTACATTGCAGGGATAGGCACAACCGACTCCTTTTAATGTATAAACTGCGGGCTTATCTAGGGACTAGCAGTAGCCGCAAAAAACCGTGAAAATCAACCCAGTAGAACGGTAGAATGAACTGTGTCAAAAAATAAAAATGTATAGAGGGCCAGAGAGCTTATAGTAAGGATTTCTGGCTCACTTATAGGAGCACCAAGAAACTACTATATCTGACTTGCCCCCCAAAACGCCTATCTGCATTATGAGCCAGAAATAATGGTTCCTGCTTCTTGCAAAATGTTGTCCATTTAAGATCTAAAAGTTAGCTATAATGTCTCTATTACTTGTACTGCGTTTGTACCAAAAAAAAACTTTGTGAAAATGGATTAAACCCAAAGAAACTATGTAGCAATGCAGCATGCACATAGTACCTTTGATTTTCTTTATTTGCAAATAGTTCCATTTAACATAAATGCGTCTATTTACGGTACATTCTCTCGGTTGTACCCTCATTTTCAGATTGTGTACAGCTATAATTTTTTTTATTTTTTACTTTTATTTTTACTTTTACTATTACTGCTACTATGAGACTCCACATGTCATGGTTCACTTTCAAATTGTACAGGATTTAGAAGACTTCATGAGCGGAGCGAAACATGGTGTCATTTTCTTCAGCTTAGGCTCCAACTTCTTGAGCAAACACATGTCCAACGAAAAAAAACAGATGTTCCTTGAAGCGTTCAGGCAAATTCCGCAAAGAGTCGTGTGGAAATACGAAGATGAGACGTTACAGAACATACCACAAAATGTCCTCGTCAAAAAGTGGTGTCCGCAGACTGACATTTTAGGTAAGACACGAGCATGGAAAATATATTATCGAACAGATTTAAACGCTTGCAAGTAGGAATCTTTGGATACGTTCATAGTCATTAAATTTTCCAGGTACGACCATTGTTGAAAAGGCGCGAAGTATACCCCCGGAGGTTGAACTGCGAAACGGTCAAAAAGCAGACTCCGCAACAATGTTTACATTTTTGAGCGAAACGAAAACAGAATTTTTGAAAATTCATCATTAGAATTGGTATAATGCCAGCCTAGCAAGTTTTGTTAATAAAACTAAGGGGCAAGTTAATGTAAGAAATATAGCACTAATGGGTTGGTGGTTATACACATTTCACAACTCCCGCGAAAATTATATTTAAAGGTATTCAAAATTGAGTCGAATGCAAAAACATTAGCAATATCACTTTACATTGGAAGCATTCGATATAAATTCCTGGCTTGTTACTTATGTGATTTGACTCAATTGATAGACTTGGATAGTCAGTCTGTTAAAGCTGGACGTTTGAATTGACGGCCATGGTCAAATTCAATGTTTCAGTCAGGAGTTCTGAATAGAGCATTCCAATTGACATATCAAGTTTTACATGAACTAGCTATGAAGTAATTAATAACTACGGTCGGTACTTAAATGCTGAAAAGGGGAAAAAAACTTCGATTGATTGGGAACGCCAACATTTTTCGTCGACGAAATCGAAGTCTTCAGTCAAAAGAATCGCGTTTCAGATCGGATGACCCACTAAAACCCACTAAAACCTTAAGAGGCCATGCTAAAACCTTTTTCCTTCACCGAAAAACTTTGTTATCTGAACCAAAATTTATTTTTATGACTGAAATCTTGGGTTACTTGAACTGCAGACTTTGATGCTCCACGTGAGGCGAGCTGTTTTTCAGCGAGCATGTGGCTCTTGTTTTTTGATGATGATAAAGTCCAGAAAATCGTGATCATTTCTCTAATTTGTTGCAGGTCACAATAAAACGGTTTTGTTCATGACCCATAATGGTTATTTGAGCACACAAGAGTCACTTTACAACGGGATTCCAATGCTGGGTATACCTATAGTAGTGGATCAATTTATAAACAATAAAAAGTTGACCAAAGCTGGAGTGGCACTTAGATTGGATCTCAAGGATATCAAAAGCGCAGATCAAATAAAGGAGAAAATCACGACCATATTAAACAATCCGAGGTATGTTATTCGTTCATAAAAAAATTTCGAACTGAATCGTATCTTCTATAATATAAAATCATATGAGTAACATGTAACGCACAACATCTGAGGCGCAAAGCGTTTCAGAAAGTTGGACTGCGAAGTAGTCAGGGGGCGCGGCGCCCTGGTGAACATAAAGATACATAAGTTACAGAATTATTTATCTCTGCGGAGTGGAAAAATTACTATAAATGGTGCCAAAGACGTCAGACTTTGAGCAGTTAAACTCCCTAATCAAAAGTTTCAATAACACTCACATGTTGGAAAATAATTTCCTGTTATTTTGGAAAGACAGGGGCAAACACACTTTAAACAGAACAATTAACGGACAAAATGAATTTATTTGATACCTTACTGAGACGTGACGCCATTGAGTATTCTAAATTATTCCATGATATTGCATGAGACTAAAAATTGTACGTCATCAGCAAAAGTATTCATACCTATTTACGGAGTTGAAGAGTTCCTCATCTTCAAACTTGAGTGCTTACAGAAACGCACTTTTACGAATTTCTTTTTCCGGACATACCACTTCTACTGGATGATGCCCACTTATGCATATTCACAACGGTCCGCGTTCAAAGTAACACAGACGTGCAGCATAATTGGATTTTCTATCCGAGGAAGAATATTTGATTATCTGCTTCGGCATTCCAGGAAATGCCTAAGTTGCCTATTTGTATCTGATTGATACAATGGAGTTCTTGCACATGTCAGGGATTTGCATTTAAGTACTTCTACTTAAGTAAAATTTCGCGAAAATCGTAATGGTTCCATTGATTTCTCTGAGATCAACTCTCAAGCTCATAAAGAGCTCTCAAAATTCAGGCCGAAATGGAAGGAATATCCCCGGCTATGTTGAGAGTCCATCTTTATATCTGGTCAATCTCTCCGAGCAAGTAAAGGAGGCAAACAAATCATAGGGTTGTCGTGGTTTCAACTTATGTATTTGCTTATCTTTGCATGGAGAGTATCTTATCTTTGCATGACTTGATATAGAGGTGGACTCTCGAAGGGACGTGCGATATCCCCTCCATTACGACCGACAGCTCTTTTTGGAGCTTGGGAGTTCATTATAGAGAACACCGGTGGCACCATTGAATTTCTGCGAAATTTTACAAAAGAAAAATTACACTTAAAACGCAAATCCTTGGTCCGACAATGATGTATACAGAATGTACTTGTGCAAAAAACTTCAAAATCACAAGTTGAAAAATTCTGACTGTACGAGTTTGAACAATCACGCAAGACACAGTGCGGACGGCGGCGCGCGGCGCAGAACGGGTGTTAGTGCCTGCAAGCCTTCGTGGATACTTCACGCATTGCGCGTGCGGCCGCGCCCCGGCGCAGAGCACATGTCAGTGCCTGCAAGCCTGCATGGATACTTCCCGCATTGCACGTACACCACACCACCACACCACTACACCATAGCTTCATTCTGCCTGTTTCCTCTGTGTCTATCATTTTCAATAATCAGCCCGCTGGTCACGATCACTCTAGCTGAGTACCGACGCATCCTTACAGTAAAAGGTTCAATCTGTTTCTTATTTTAGTTTTCTTTATGATTTTCCGCAGCTTCCGGGAAAAAGCGCAAGAGATGTCGGTGCTTTTCCGGGATCGGCCGATGAATCCCCTGGACACGGCAATCTACTGGATCGAGTACGTGTTGCGGCACAAGGGAGCCAAGCAGCTGAGGGTGGCCAGTCTCGACTTGGCCTGGTACCAGTATTACCTCCTCGACATCTATTTCGCCATCGCTGCCGCAGTCTTCGCGGTCTACTATGCTCTGGCCAGGATCTTCCGGTCGATATTCAGTACAGAAACAAAACAAAAAACAAAGCAGAAGAAAACGTAATCTCGCGGTGATTCAGACGTGAACCAGTTCATTTTACGAACTTTGAGGGGGAAATAATTGTTGAAAAGATTGCTAATTTTGAAGGAAAATTCTCACTTCGGTTTTGAGGAAAGATTCCTCGTTTTGCTTCTTCTTCTTCCTGCTGGATACGCGTCTCCGATTTAAAGATTTTTTTTTTTAATAATGATTTTTATTTAAATGAGATTATTTTGATTGTCAAAGCATATTTAGTTTCAAAACACAAATTCCTTATGAGCCATAAAAAAAAGAAGAAAAAAAAAGAAAATACAAATGATGACAATCAAAGTAAAAATACATTTCCTTCGCCTGAATGACACTTGTTTTCAAATCAAAAACATCTTTTCAAGCAAACATTTATAATTTATCAATTTTTTTAAAAGAAGACTATTATCATCATATTTTTCAAAGAATCGATAAAATTTGAAACAATGCCGTCCCATCAAAATAATACTACCGGCACTCAAAGTCCTGCGTGATCTCATGTTATCCGGTGCACCGAGGTAGTCGAATTAGTTAGTTAGTTAGTTTTATTTAACGACGATCAGCATCTAGGCTATTTACGTCGGGGACTGGGCAATTTTAAATTTTTAAATTTAATTTCTTGAAGAGCTTTAAAATTTCTGTTACTACCATCGAATTAAGCACGTATCTGAAAGACGTTCTGTGTAGAGATGGAGGCATATGTTACATTCCAATTATGAATGGACGAAATGAATACGCTGGTTTAATTGGATGAGATTATTTGGTAATCAACAGGAGTTTACATATTGTATAAATTAAATTTAAGCTCGAAATGTATATTGTAAAATAAATTTGTATACATTACAAATGTCATGACTACGATTTTTTAGATGAAATGCAGTGAATGGTCCATTTTAGTCTTGAATCTTAGGAAATATCAGTGAAACCGTTAAAAAATGACCAACAGTTCTTTGCGGGCTGAACTTTAAAATGAATAGACACAGGGATAGACAAAGAACTGAGCTATCCTACTGGTGGAACATGGGTGGTTGTGATGGACTAAGAGGGGAAATGGTGGTAGCCAAAGTGCAATACCGCGTATCTTCTTATGCGACAATGCAGGTTTCTTGTCATACTTTAGTTTTTCTGTGGCAAACTAGTGAATTAAATTTCTTGAAAACTTCCTTGATTTTACCTCTATAAAAGCAGAGTATTCCGTAGAAATTCAAGCAGTATACTTGACTTGGTTTTATTCAAAACAAGGGGAAAGCTCTAATACATTCATACTAAAGAAGCGCTCAGCTGTTTTCTATGTAGGCGCATTTTTACTCGTAAGAAGATGAACACCGTTGAGTTAAAGAACTCGCCTCACCAAAATTTCAACTATCAATTTTGAGAAAACTACACTACCGCTAAAAAAAAACTAAAGTATAGAAAAACAATTATCGTCCTCCGTGCCTTGACATCAGAAGCATTAAATAAAGGTATCACAGATTAATCTATTCTAAATATATTAGGTCCCTCTCCGCCATCTTGTTGTCAGGCTGATGCGTCATTTGAACGCATTGCCACTAGTATACTAGAATTTTAGAGGCAGGTTCAGAACAAAAAGCGTTCCCTATCAACTAAGGGGTTTAAAAATAAAGATTTTGACACATCGCAATGGAGATACGTCGTTTCACACTATAGCCATCGATGTCACCAAACATTTCTTCTCAGCACTGCCTTTGAATCCAACAATTTTACCTCGGCTTTTTCTCATTGTCAGAGGCGGAGAAGTGCCAGTGAGAAATTGGCAGTACATCAACGGCATTCGTAATCCCGACTCGATACCCGGGTAAGTAAATACACATCAACGACACTCAGACAGATAGTTCGTTGCTCTTCTGACATAAGGGCGTATCGCTATTTGCACATGAACCCCGAAAAGCATAGAGTTATACGGAGAAAAGGGCTCACGTAGAAATCAGGATACGTCCTTATGATAGAAGAGCGACGAGTGCGAGCGGCGCAGCTTCAAGAGAGCTGACAAAAACCGCATTTATCGTATTTAAAAGCATATGAGTTAGGATGTTTTGGCTCGGCGGGGAAGTAGACGCACGGGAGGCCGATAACGGCGCGTTATTTGAGGTCAGCCGTTGATAATAATTACTCGTAATTATTCCGACATGACGGCGACGTATGTACGTTGTCCCGTCGAGCGCGTGCAGCCGTGCACTCGCACTCCACATGTGCGGGTCCGCAGAGGTGCGTCGGCTCCTCGGCCGTGTGACGTCACGCGCCGCGTTTCTCGAACGGATTACGTCATCAGTGCGGAAAATTCGCCGGCGCAGTTTTTGAGAGGTTAGGTTTGATGTTCGGTAGTGCGGGAAGGCGGAAAAACCCGGTGAATGGTGAGTTGGTTGATTGTGGAGGGGTCTCGTAGTGCGGCGGGAGGGAGTTGAGCGATTTTACAGTGAGCTGGCCACTGAGGATCCAGTTCTGATTGGTTGAGACATCTTACGTTCGATTAAGCGTTAAAGGTCCAAATAAGTAGCAAATTTTGGCCACCCGGATGATTGGAAATGATAGATAGATAGAATTATAGATGCATACAGCCTATAGTAAAAAGCTCTGGCACAAGTCAAATTTACAATTTATACATCAATTACAACAATTTAAACAAATTAACTGGAGATGTTGCATGTGTGAGGAATTTGCGATTTGACTATTGATTATTGTGTAAAAGTTCGTGAGAAACACGATGGTGCCACTGGTTTTCTCTGAAATCAACTCCCAGCTCAAAAAAGCTCTCAAGTTGACGATCCGAATCTGTTGATCCGATCTGTCCGAATTGCAGAATGCAGTCCAAGTGTAGAGTGGGGGAGGGAACCTAGTAACATCATTTTCGTATGCGGGGGCAATATCGTCACCCCTTTGAAATAAGGAAGTATCTCAATTCCAACGTGTGCCTGAGCTGTTTTACGCATAAATCCACGCTTTGGGGGCTCATACTGAAATCGAGATAAGATACGCCCTTACGCCAGAGGAGCGACGATACGTGCATTGCTGCAGCTACAACATTTCTCACAAAATAAAAAGGACCCAGAATCCAACATTTCCACTTGACTAGAGTGTCTCCTGAACGATGAACTTGAGCAAATTAAATTCCTTTATCGAAAAATACGTGAAGATTATTTGACGAAACTAAAGCAATTGACGACCATCCCGGCACATATGACAGGCTTTGCAAAACTGAATCTTATCTTTTCTGGATTGATTGAAACTGAAACTTCAAGTACAGGGTAAATGAAGCAAAAGCATTGTTGAGACTTCAACTGCGGGTCTACTTATTCGACTGAAAATCCTACTTACAGAAAACCCAGTAGGTGCCTATTAGCATTATGTTGACTAAGCAAATTCAGCTGAAAAAGTGCGCTTACGTTGATGTATTTTTATATTGTATTGCATTTTAATGTCGGCAATCCGATTTCTGTAGAAGTATTCGGTGCAATATAAGAAAAAAATTCACGGAAATGGCTACTCCAAGTCAAGTTTTGATTGAAAACAACGACACATTGCCACAGCACCATGACTACATTTTAGGAAGTCATTTGACTAGGTAAGGGGGATTAGATTTCAGAGAAAGAGTCGATTATGTTCTGTTGCGGTATATTAAACTGCCTGAGCAATTCAGGAGCCACCGCTGTAGCCTATGCGATAAAATTTAGTTTTAGTTTTAGTTTTTACTTTTTGCCCTGTAACGGTGCTTTGGCCTTAGTGCATAGGCACAAACAGCCACTAACAAGATAAATGGTCAGTAGATAGCTAGATTATTGATTATTGGTGGTAAAAGAAAGTAGGATGTTGATTATTTGCTTGGATTATTCCATGTGTGGATGTTGGGAGTGTAAGTTTAAAGTTAAACAATTATTTTGTTGGAGCGGATGAAGTTGCTCAGAATGGAGTATTTGTTCTTAGATGGATCAGCTAATAGGGTGGCTGAGTTGATAGGGAAGTAGACGCCAATTTGGCTCAGTTGATCGAGGAGTGATGATAAATTACTAAGTTGATTGCACTGGAGAAGTATGTGGTCGATAGTCGCAATTTGTCCACAAGCGCACAGGTTTGAGTCAGCTAGGTTAATTCTTCGTAGATGAGCTGCAAATCGTCCGTGACCCACTCTCAAGCGGGAAATAACGTTCGAAAACATTTAAATTAAAAATATTAAAATTAAAATCCGACGTTGCCGATCTTTGAGGTTCTAATATCACTCAAAAAATGACGATTAATAGTTATTTTTGATAAAAATTGATATTATTATATGAAATTTCAGAATAATAGAAACGAAAAAAAAATATACCTAGTTGAACTATGCAAACGATTAGTTTCTCCTTGCTCAATGAACTTTTTCGGGAAAACGTTCGATGAATTACTCTATTTTCAATCTATAATTTTCAGTTTATTGCGTGATTCATCTAATAAGTTTGAGGTTAGATTTTTCGTATTAGAAACCGGAGTGCCATTCGAGACTAAATACAAAGAGTTATACTGCCGTGCTAATAAGAAAGCCGTATGAGCAGTCGAATGTTGTAAAACGTCTTCTCAAAAAAGATTTATTTGTGAAGAAAGTTCTGAATATTTTTCCTTGAAATTTGCAGATATTTTAGATCAAATTACGGACGAAATCCACTGAAAAACCTGAGGAAAAATATTCAAAAGTTTTCCTGAAAATTCGTGATTTGTCGAGAGAAATTTGGCAACGCTTGAGGGCTCATACGGCGTTCTTCCTCAGCACAGCAGTATGGTGGTGTAGTTTTTCGCACATATTAGTTCTGCCAATCATCAAGTGGATTCCGGAAGTATCATTGTGGCTTTTAAATATAAAGTAGAACCTACGTTTTACACAGGATACCTTCTACATATTTGGACCTAAAAGACATTTTAAGAAGTCTCCAAAGTAAGACATGTGGACACACATTTTGAGTTTAGCAGTGATTCTCATTGTTGACAAAAGCTCTTGCGCCCGGATTTTATCATTGATGACAGTGCCGGCTCACAGCCATGCATACTGGGCCTCCAACCTAATCGAAGCTCTAGCCTCAAGGGGACACCAGGTAAGCACAAGAATCTCCATAAATATTTTCAATTTTCCAACCTGACAACCAAAAAAAAAAAAGAAAAAAAAGAGAGACCTTCAACTAAACACACCAGGTGGAAACTATTACTTTCGGAAATTCCAATTTCCTTATGAACAACTGGCTTACATTCAGCAACAAGGAACGACTGTTTCTGGCTAATTTCAGAAACAACATTTATACCATTGGTTACCCTTTGCAGATACGCGCTTATATGGAGGAGCCAGAGATAGTGGTTCCTTATTGCAAGATGTAATCCAACTATGGGGCAACAACATTCATCCACGTGGTACACCAGCATGGTTTTGGAGTTGAGCGACCTAACTCGCGAGACTCCTGTCACTCTAGTGGAGTCAGGATCATTGACGAGGCAGTCGTTAAATTCGTGTTAATGATGATAACTTCGCATTTCTATGTTTGTTCATCGAAGCAACATCTGTTCGGCTTTCAGTCATTGCCAGATAGGAAGAATAGCCGGGCGCCTTCAATTTTTCGTCTATGCAACATGGACGGCCCCGGAGCTCGAAACTACACTTAAATCCGCAAAGCAAAGCTTGCGCGGGAAATTCTGAAATATGAACGTGTTATTTTGATTCTGACGGTTTTAAAACATTTTTGTCCCGGTACATACTTAGATCGTGGCTTTGACGCCAGAATCGAAGACCTCATCGCACCCGAACGTGACGTCAGTATACTTGGAGGGAGGTTACGATGAGAAAGTTCTCTTCGAGCAGGACTTGGACAGCATCCCCCCCATCGAGGAGCCGACCGCCATGATGGATTTCCTCTTCAACTGGCTGGCCGACATGTGCCGAACTCTACTTCTATCCCCGGGTGAGTAAGGTTTTACATTTTAAAACATCCAATACATTTTATTCTGAGAGCCTACTATGGAGAGTGCGCGAGTTCTTGAAATGCTTCGTTTCAGACTCGGCTTCAGTTGTTACAACAAAACCAATATTAAGGCTTAACTCGAAAACCAGTGGCGTGGCGTGCTTTGCGATGTATCAATTGATCTGCCATCTAAACCTATGGAAAAGGATCGATTAACAGGGTGTTCGCAGCGAACACCTTAATAATCGATTCTCTACCATAGGTTTAAATGGCATATCAATTGATACATCGCAATTCACGCCACGCCACTGTCGAAAACAATGTAGCTCACATTCAAAGTTTTGGAATTTTTGGGTAAAGCTTGTTTACTGATGGAGGGAAAATAAATCAGCAGAATTTCCGCACTTTTTCAGTACTTCCAGACCGCCCTTAAAAAATCAGTACCATTTCCGGACTTTCTGGACTTATAGACACCCTGCGTTGTCTCCCATTCTCTCGCTTTTTCTCTCCTTGTTTTTTGAGCGTTGGTTTCGGGATTCCAGGCAACAAGCGGTTCATGACGGACTACGCGGACAGTCATTTCGATCTGATCCTGACGGATTCGACGGGGAACGAGTGCTTCCTGAAATACGTGCACCTCTTCGGGTACCCGCCGGTCGTCTCCGTTGTGCCCTACGGCTCCCCGCAGTGGGTCAACGAGCTCGTCGGCAACTTCGCCAACCCCGCCTACGTCCCCAACCAATTCACCAGCTTCACCGACCGCATGACCTTCGCAGAGAGACTCACCAACCTCTACGTCAACGTCTACTGCTCGCTCTTTCGATATTTTCGATATCTACCTCGAAATGAAGTAAGTCGAAGGGGAAATTTTTCACTCTTTGTTCATGGTTGACTGTGAGTCCCTTTGGAATAAAAGTCATTAAGGTGAATCCAGGGTTCGATTAGGGATAATTCAAGGTTAGAGATAGCGCCTATGGAACGCCGTTTGTACGAAAACCTATTTTTAGGGGGGAGAAGAGCGCCACCAGTCACCGCTGAGAATTTCACTTTTCTTCGACGATTACTGAAATAATAATCCTCAAATTACAAAAAGCAGATCCACAAGATATATATTACTTTTTGCTTGATTTTTTGAGCCAAAAATATTTGCAATTAGGATTACAAGCGCAGAGAAAGTACGGTTGGAACTTTCAGCTCAGCGGCGGCGGCGGCCGAGCGCGCAAATGAATCCCTCATGTTCTGTCTCTCTCTCCCATTGCCGCAAGGGGAATTACTTTCCGCCGTAGTTACGACTTTATTTTTGGGAATTTTGAGAAGATTTTTTAACTGAGCGTTCCTCAAGTATGTTGCCATATCCCCTGGATCTCTAATCTTGAATAAGTATTACGCTTTTTATTATTTTGGCAAATATATACGGCTATTCTGAGCAGCGCGACATGGTGACCAAATCTGGAAGTTCCAAGCTTTGATTCACCTTAAATCAACGTGGGAAGGAAGGAATGTTCGGATGACCTTCGCAGAGAGACTCGCCAACCTCTACGTCAACGTCTACTGCTCCCTTTTTCGATATTTTCGATATCTACCTCGAAATGAAGTAAGTCGAGGGGGCAATTTTTCACTCTTTGTCTATCGTTGAACTGGAAAAAATTCCGGCCGTGAAAGTCGTGCTTACGCGCTGTATAGACGTACCATGAGCGTTCCGGGCACAGCACTCGGAGCAATCGAAACTACGGCTCCAGCACCCGGAACTTTCGGCCTCTGAGCCCGGAACGGACGGTATGTCTATAAAGCCCGTATGTTTGTGTGTTAACAGCGTGGCTGTGAATCCATTTGGAATAAAAACCATTAAATCAAGTGATAATGATAGAATCAGGTAATAGTTTGTCGTCTCCAGGACGAAGGAGCCTAACTCCATTCTAAGATTGGCAAATTGACTCAAAAAAATAATTAATTTCACAAAAATGTACCGGTGAATTTTTTTTTAGAATTTTTCTGATTTTTGCATGGAATCTGAGGAAAAATCAGTGAAATTCTCAGTTAAAAATGCCCAAGATTTGTCTGGCTCAAATTTGCAAGGGAAAATTTGACAACATTGAAATGGAGCTAGGTTCTTCCGTGAGGGAAACTGCGAGTTCTGCGGCGGAGCGGGCACAGAGTAAGAGTCAGGGGCAGCATTTCAGCAGCGAAACTTCGACAAAATGCTTTTGCAAAAACAAAAAAATTGCAAGACTCCGAGTAGAATATCTCTCTCTTGAAAGCCGATTGTATAATTTTTCCATTTTTGGTGAGAGAAATGCAGAGGCTATCATACGGGAAATCGACAATCGATCAGGCAACAGATTCATCACCTCAAAAGGGAAAAAGGGTTGAACATTTTCTGGAAACGATGCATCCCTCGACAATTGATTTGAATGCAAATCCTGCAGAAAAATATTTTGATGATCCCATCTCTTGTTTTAAACTGATTTCAGGCGATAGCGCAGGAATTCTTCGGTTTCTCAGAGCCGAGCGTTGCTCAACTGGAGAAACATGTGAGCCTGGCCCTGGTGAACTCGCATTTCAGTTTGCGCTACTCAGAGTCCATCCCACCCGGACTGGTGCCTGTTGCTGGAATGCACATATCACCGGCCAAGCCACTCCCTAAAGTAAGTTTTGCAGGCACAGACCCGCAGCTTAAACATTTGGATACTGTTTTGAAACTCTTTCAGTGGCTTTTCTGAAAATTTCAGTTTATTCAATGTTAGGGCACGCAGTTTTAAATACAATTGGAGGTGTCATCAGCTATAAGTTGGGACTTGTTTTCATTCCGTTTGCAAGCGACCGCGATGCAGTCGTCCAATAGGAATCGAGGATTGACTACGCTCACGATCGGGCTGCGGTCAATACTCGATCGCTATTGGACGATTGCATCGCGATCACTAGCAAGCAAAATGTAAACAAAGCCCAACTTACAATTAGCTGAAATCTCCGGGAAAAACATCACTTGGACCACACTCACCAAAGAAAAGAACTGAGATTTTCTTGGAGGAATACATTGGTAATTGGAAGAATTGGCAAAATTCAGAAAAATGAAATCAGGACCCGTTTTGGGATAGCAAAAAAAAAAAAAAAAAATCGATTTAAAAAATCATTCACTGTATCGAATGCCAGTTTTTCCCCCAAAACGGACCCTGCTTTCTTTTCTCAGAATTTTGCCAATTTCTTCATTCAGAATGATTCTGTGGGCTCGCGCGCAAGGGCTATCGTCCTGTTTTGGGCTTAAAATTCAAAATCTGCTGAGACTCACTGGAAAAACAACACATTGTATCTAGAGTCCAGACTCTTAAAAACATCGAAAACAAAAAGTACTCTTGATTTAATCAGAATCTAGCTCAAATCAAGAACCAAGCCTCTTAATTTATAAGCGGATTTCGTTTTGATCCGAGAAAAAATCCGATTGAATCAAGAGTATTTTTTCTTGTCAATGTTTTCAAGAGTCTGGACTCTAGATCCAATGTGTTTTTTCTCCAGTGCTGTATTTACTCAATCGACGTCGACATCGCCGGCCAGTCGACCACGCCAGAAACCGTGACGAATCACCTTATAGGAAAAATTTTGCGCCGCACACTGGACCGAGTCAATAAGAGAAGTCGGACAAAATTTAGAAACTTTAAACACGTATAACTCTGTTTACATCAAACTTTGAGGTTCTGAAAGTGGGTTTATTGGTTTTTTTGCGCAATTTGCTTCTTAAAACACCCCTTGAATTTCAAAATGTGACGAGATAAGTAGCAAAATTTGCAGTTTTAGTCAAAAATTTCATGTACGACCTCTTTCATTGACTCGATGCACTGTGCGCCGTGCCCAAACCCATACCATGCCTAAAAGCCTAATTTAATCTCAAACATTAATTACCTCCGTAAACATCTTCGTGTTCCTTTTTTACTCAGGACCTGAAAAATTTCATAGAAGGAGCAGAGCACGGGGTGGTGTATTTCAGCCTCGGATCTAATTTGAAGAGCGACAAGATGTCGAAAGAGAAGCAAAAGGCTTTCATGGACGCTTTCGCGCGGCTGCCCCAGCGGGTTCTGTGGAAGTTCGAGGCGGATAGTCTTCCCGAGCTACCGGAAAACGTCATGATAAGCAAGTGGATTCCGCAGAACGATGTTCTAGGTAAAAATCAAACTCGATTCCCTCTAATTTCAGCAGAAACTCCTTCAAAGATGAACGGAATTTATAAGATAGTGTATAATGCGTCTGGTCTTTTATGAGCTGAGCACTGGCGTGGTGTGCTTTGCGATGTATCGATTGATCGGCCATTTAAACGTATGGAAAAGTATCGATAAACAGGGTGTTTGCAGCGAACACCTTGATAATCGATTATTTACCACGACTTCAAATGGGGAAATACCGACGGATCGCAAAGCTTGCCACGCCACTGGAGCTAAGCCTTGGTTTAGGAGAAATGCTTCAAGATGGACCGAATTTTACACGATCGCGTCAAGGTCAAGTCGCATTTTGGGGGAAAAACTGAATTTTGATTAAACGACTAAGACACCCTGATCAAAAGTCGAAGACGAGAAAAAAAAATTGTGAACGTGAAAAAAAGTCGCTCAACTTCGTCCCTACCGTCGAGTCTTGTAGAGGAATACAACTCCAAGCCTTTTTCCTCCGGCCAACACTTGGTGGTTGAACTCTGTCTGAATATCCTACATGCCGTGGTGGTAATATATTCAAAGAGAAGTGGGCACCTCTAACAAAATTGGTTTCTAAGGCAATGTTTATGTCCAGCGCTACTTGCCAAGGAGGAAAAAATGACAAACTCGAAAAATCGCACTAGTTTGAAAAAAGCAACCCCATGAGCGTTTTGCAACAAAAATATTAAAAACAAGCTACATCATGAAACTACGATATGTTTACATCGGTTAGTCCATAAATGTCAATTTGAAACGCATTCGGAGGGAGGATAGGTAATTTGCGATGCAAATAAATACTGCAACTTATGTTAACTGTATTACGATAAAAAATAAGAGGAGCTCCTTCAATTAGTACATAGGCAACATACACAACACTTTATACACGCACTTTACAATGCTGCGTGCTGTTTGGGAAAAGGTAGGTACATGTTTCGTTATCTTTAGTGTTAAAGTCGTTCAGTTTCAAACATATATGTAGGTAATGAATAGTCTCATGGTAATGAAAAAAAAACAAAACAAAAAAGTCTTCTTGCCTGAATACTTAGGAAGCAATATCTGTTACGTGTCAGGCATCAGTATATTAGTAGATAATGCAAATTGGCACTAACTTAACGTCCGTTCCATTTCATAATTCACGAACACGCTAATTTCAATTTTTTCAGCTCATTTAAGGTTTTCATTTTTCTAAGAAATGTACGGCTACTTTCTGACACTCCGTGCTATGTACTGTCTGTTCTGATTTCTGTAATTGCCTAGTTAGTTTGATAAAATAATGTTTCTAAAAACAATTGGATAGATAGCGTGAGAACTTCATTTGATGGGGCTGAGTGATGCTAATTTCTGTATCGGATAATTATGTTACAGCGCACCCCAATGTGGTTTTGTTCATGACACATTGTGGACTTTTGAGTGTGCAAGAGTCCATCTACCACGGAGTCCCCGTGATTGGTATCCCGTTGATGATCGACCAATACATCAATGCAAATCAAATTGTCCAGAAAAACCTCGGGCTGCAAATCAAGTACTCGGATATTAAAAATGCTGACCAGATCTACCAACTCATCCACACTGTTACCTCCGACTCAGGGTAAGTATCAAGTCGCAAGTGAAAGGGAAAACTGGAACGAGTAGAGTGGCCCGAAATTTTTCATGGGGTTTAGAGTCAAAAATTTAATACATGGGGGGGGGTGGATTTCTAAAAATCACAAAAAATTATTTTTTATGGGAAAATTTTTCGGTCATGGGTAGAATACCTACACAAGGAGAGTACGGACACGTCCGTAATTTTGAGGTTAGATGATGGAGCTTTTAGGGCTCAAAAAAGCAGCCAACATATGTATCAATATCCAAAATGATTCATTATGACAATTGTTACGATCCGTCATTTGACTGAAGTCCCATTATAGCGGTGGCGGTCACATTAAGGCTTAGCGGTCGGTGTAGAACGCATATTAGCGCCCGCAAGACTATGTAAATACTTCACGCATTGCGCAAAAAACAGTGGTCGACGGGCAAGGCACATTAGCGCCTACAAGACTGTGGAAAAACTTCACGCATTGCGCGTACACCATAATGCGCGCTTGAATCGTTGAATATTCGTAATTTCTCATTTTTGAAGTAATTGGTAGCACTTGGGTGTTAGAAGCAACTTGTTTAAAATTACAAAACAGAAAAAAGTGATGGTACTCATTTTTGGAAGTAAAATTTTAAAAGCTATTCACGTTAAAATTGAGAGACTGCCACTCGATTAAGTATTGCCCTCCCGTTGCGCATAGACGAGGATTCTAAAAATGTTTCATGATTACAGTGTATAACTGAACCAAAGTCACAATTCTTTAAGTTACAATTGGAGGAATGAAAAAAGAGAAAGCTTTTGAAAAAATGTTCGCAAGATTTTAACGTATTCGATTGGCAAAAATGCAGTCAAAAATGCAGTGGAACTCTTTTCTATCCTAATTGAAATCCATGTAAAATATCCACATTTTATCGCTTAACCTGGCAATTCTGTTTCAATTTCAGCTTCAAGGAGAGAATGGACATTACCTCGGAGAATTTCCGAGATCAACCGATCAAGCCTCTGGATAGAGCTGTCTATTGGGTAGAATATGTTTTACGGCACAAATCACTAGATCATTTGCATCCCGGCAACTTACAGCTGAGTTGGTACCAGCTGAATTTAATCGATGTCATGGTTTTTCTAGTAATCTCTGTCATAATTACACTTACATTAATAAATCAACTCGTAAAAAGGCTAGTGAAATCCACAGGGAAACGAAAATTACGAGCTCCAATCAAACGTCGTCTATCTTGAGAATTCGTTAAAATTATCCAACGAGAATCTACCTTGGTGACTGCAAAATCCAGGAACAGCAATGGATGAGACAAAATGTGACTCACTGACGGTGAAAATTTTGTACCGACAGAAAATTTCAAGAAGTTGTTAACACCAAAAAAACCCTATGTGAAGTCTATAATTAAGCTTTTACACCATTACTAAAGTGGTAAAATGTACAATTTAAAGATTTATACTTTCACACAATACTACTGAGCAATAGTTTCATATGACACAAGACACATCCTAATGCCTCTATCAATTTTGTGATCTTGCCAATTTGTAAAGACTGTAGAAATATTGTTAAGTTTGAAAATAAAGTTGTTTGAAAATAATAATCATTTATGTATTTATGATTTTGTTGGTTCAAGTTTAATGACTTCATTCATCATTTGTGGCTTAAATTACGGAGAAAAAAAAGAAAAAATGAAAGTACCTACATTCAAACATTTATAGTTACCGAATACTGACATTTATTTTGCTTGCGCCATCTACTGTCATGGCTGAGGAACTTCGGGGAAAAAATGAGGCAAACCCAAGAAACTTTACTTTTGAGCAGTTCCAAGATGGGAACTTAAAGTGTCTACCAGTTATGAAAAACCAAAACTGGGAACTTTTCGGGACTTATAGGGGAGTTTTTCAAGAAAATTTGGGACTTTTTTCCTGAAATATTAAGAGAAAGGGAGCTAGTTAGAGCGTTAAAAAGCGTACTTTATATGACTAATTTTACGAGTCATGTTGAACCGATGAAAACATACGAAAAGCCAAGCAACACTTCTGTTTTATTTATTCCTGGTTATACCACACCGTGCGGCTGGAGGAAAACTTTTGAAATGCTGGTGTTTAGGATGATTTTTGTCATTTTTCGGGGACCTGAACACGAAAATTGGGGACTTTGGGAGATATCGGGGACACCCTTCCAAAATCGGGGATAATCAGGGACATTGGGGACTTTTGGGGACCGGTGTACACCCTGTAAACATAATTAAAATAACTCCTCTAGATGGGGAAAACACTTACCCTGCTGGTGCACACAGTGTAAAACACAAAATTACAGCTTGGATACTGAATGTAAAATTTGAAAATAATAAGTATACTCAATAAAACTGTGACCATGTTCTGATCTAGGTGTAAAGGACTACGTGCAAAACGGGCCATTTGGGGCTCGGGGCGGATACATTTGAGACTTGCCCTATTCATTCACCTAACAATGCCCCATCTTTTCCCAAAGTTTCAAGCCCCACAAAAATTTTGGGGAGACGCGGCGGGGGGTCAAAGTTAAAAACCGGCAAAATTTTCGCGAATTTATTACTCGAAAACCAAGAACTTTTGGAAAACGCGGTTTAAACGAGCGTATTCAGCAAGACGAGAGCTTTCAGAAAATGTATAACATCATAGGGTTTTGTCAACACCAGCTCGAGTTATCGCCTCCGAAGCGTCGGAACGCTCAAAAAAGACCCCTTATTTTTTCACGTTTGGGCCGATTTAAAAAAAAGCCATTTTTTTATTTTGATGAAAAACTAATATGTTGTTCTTGACTCTCTGTAGACCCTCTAGCTCTTTACCGCATGCTGGGGAAATGTTTTGGTCGCGAGTTATAAGAGCCGAAAGGAGCGAAGGTCGGGAAAATCGGCTATTTTAAACTGCGCGCGGCGACGGATCAGGAGACATGTGGCAACAATGCGAGGTCGGCAGAGGAGTGTGATTCGCCGAACTGAGTGGGAGGGGACGTTTTCCCTCCGATCAACGCCGCGCGCGCAGTTTAAAATAGCCGATTTTCCCGACCTTCGCTCCTTTCGGCTCTTATAACTCGCGACCAAAACATTTCCCCAGCATGCGGTAAAGAGCTAGAGGGTCTACAGAGAGTCAAGAACAACATATTAGTTTTTCATCAAAATAAAAAAATGGCTTTTTTTTAAATCGGCCCAAACGTGAAAAAATAAGGGGTCTTTTTTGAGCGTTCCGACGCTTCGGAGGCGATAACTCGAGCTGATGTTGACAAAACCCTATGATGTTATACATTTTCTGAAAGCTCTCGTCTTGCTGAATACGCTCGTTTAAACCGCGTTTTCCAAAAGTTCTTGGTTTTCGAGTAATAAATTCGCGAAAATTTTGCCGGTTTTTAACTTTGACCCCCCGCCGCGTCTCCCCAAAATTTTTGTGGGGCTTGAAACTTTGGGAAAAGATGGGGCATTGTTAGGTGAATGAATAGGGCAAGTCTCAAATGTATCCGCCCCGAGCCCCAAATGGCCCGTTTTGCACGTAGTCCTTTGAAAAAAAGGAGACAGGGAGATAAAAGGAATTGATATTGTAGTCAAATCTAAAAGAAAAAAAAAATATTTATTTTGTTTTACTCATTATCACAGGACAGGATAGTTCATACAAGCTGCAAGGTCAAAGACAATCATAACAACTGCAACAAGCCTTCACTTCATTAAAAAGTCACACTCACTGTGACTGTATATGTATTTATAAAACTATTTCAATAAAAAATCAACAAAATGTCTAAAAATAAAACTTGACGTGTGAGAAAAAAAGAATTCAGTACAGACAGAGTTCTCAAATAAAGATTACTTGATACATAGTAATTAATTTTTCTTCAAGAGAGGTGATTGTGAAAAACAATAAGATAAAATAAAATTACAACCAGCCTTTCCAGAAGACTAGTTCCCTTTATTCCTACCTCTTTGGCTGCTAAAAGATAACATTAAATACCAACGAATCTTGTCCAACCAGAGACATGGCAGTTGTGAAATCTACTACATGTTGCAATGCTTAGTGGGTCATTTTTACGAGAGTTTCAAAATCACAGAAAAAAAGATGTCATTGTATGCAATGCAATAAAAAAGACTTAATCATGCACTGAACGAGCTTAGGAGCTTACCTTCACTATTAAAATTACCGGAAAATCTTCCTCTAAAATTCAAAAGAGTCAGTCAATATGGTCCGCAATCTCTTTCCTTTAATTTTGAAAATCAGTGCAAACTCCTTCCACTTCCAAGGATTTTTTTGACAGCTCCTCCCTCAAATAATAAGCAATCTGTTGTTTTCTTTTCAAAATTATTTGTATTTCTTCTTAAATTTCTTTATTGCAGTCATATATGTTCATGGTGATCGAAGATAAAATGATGATCCAAAAAATATTCCACGTTTCATTTGGGCATTCTTGGCTGGTTAGACAGTGGTCCAGTATGAATAATTAGAGAAAGATTCATATTAACTCAAAATAAAAACACTTTGCTTGTCGATAGTTCCGACTTTGACTCGAAAAAAGTAAAAAGTCATTGGCCAAAATGCAAAACGTTGTAGGTACCTTAAGTTGCAGCATTGAAGACTTCCCATCATACTTTATTTTTTCTTTGTAAAACTAGTCATCGTAATTTCTTGAAAAAAGTTATTATTTTCTTCTGAGTTAGCAAAATATTCTGCAAAAACTTTAAGCTATTAAGTTCGCTTATTTCTCTTCAAAGAAATAAAATAGGAGTGGACAATTTGAAAAATCGCAATAAAGATACTCGGTTCTGCACTAGAGCCACCGATATGAGCTTCACTGTAACCGCTATGGTAATGGTGAGGGAAAAATATGAAATCATCCATCCTTCAGTTGATTAATATTTAGTGCACACAATAATGTCTTTCTCACGTTGTTTTCCGAATTTGCTGTTGCGCAAATTATTATCTACGTGAAATTTTAAAGAAAGAATAGGATGCGTAGCACTTCCTTTCATTTACAATCTTAAGATCAACCAATTTTTTTTGACAAAAAATCAGCTGTTGACCTGTGAAAAGAATTTTTCTAACCATAGTCGAATATCAATTTTTTTACTGCATCTTTAGGAATAGCAAATGACACGGACTAGCTACATGACACAAGCATAAAAAGAATTAGCGATAATATATGCAAGAATATAATATGAAGGAGTAGAAAAGATGAATCTAATTAAAGGCAATATCGCACAGTCTTCACGAGGCACCAAGCAAGATAAAAAAATTCCAGAACTAAAGAAAAAAAAGTTGGACTCTGGTACGATTTCAAAAGAACCAGGGTTGAGCAAATATTTTTAAAAGGTTTAATGGATTTAAATGAACTCTTAGCTTCGCAATGCCTGGAAAGGTTTGTTGGCTTACCAGATTATTCCACAATTTTCTAGCAGCCCATTAGATTATTTAGGCGCTACCTAACACAGGATTGCACAATTTAACCAAGTTACAGCAAAATTGAAAAAGCCAGCGCATTTGTATAGGAATGTAACATAGTTGATCATTCCACAGATGTGCTTCAAGAGTAAAATTACGGCAAGTAGCACTAGTGTTTAACGCAGCGCAATAATAAAAAAATCAGCGTATAATCGAGAAATGCTGGGCTCCCAAACTTATCTCAACAATCAACATATTAAGCAATAAAACATTTGACGAAAAGCCAGAATCCAGCACAATTACCGCACAGTCTGTGACATGTGTAGCGGATTTAGAAGGAAATCTAGCGACGCGTTTTTTAAGTTTGCCCCGCGCAAATTGGCCTCGTGTAAATCACTGCCAGTCAAATCGCAGCTCTGAAACCAAAACATTACACAGAGGGATTAACTCAAGGGTTGAAGAGTTATGTGCTAATGTTCCTGAATTTTCTTCGAGTAAAATGTTTGACCGATGAAAGAGAAAGAAAAAATGAAAAATAAAAAATTCAAACAGACAAATTTAAATTAAAAATGATGCCGTGTTTTGGAATTTCCGGGTCCCTTCTTTAAGCCTGAATATCCAAATGATCGTTCGTTTTTGTTTACACCCTGGTGCCAAACTTACACTGGGCTGCCCTCTGACACATTTTTAATTTAATTCTGTGAATTTGAGTTTATTATCTATCTATTTTCTCTTATCTTTCGTGAGTTTCCCGACTCAGTTTATCCTTATGTTTAAGTTTCTTTTTTCACTTTTTTTTTCCATTTGTTCGAAAGATGTTATAGTTTTATCGAGATGACAAGTAAAAGCAATGAGACACAGTTTAAACATTTTTATGGTAAATAAAATCAGAATTGCTGAAAATTAAAAAGCTCAAAACTTTCCTTACATTCGCGTCGCGAGTCAAACTATCACCGCTGAAGAGGGAGGACAGCAGAGTCCCTAAAACAATATTCAGCCAAAATAATTAATGTTGGGAAAGTTTTGAGTTTTTTAATTATAGCAATTCCAATGTTATTTAACTTTTTAATTCCCTTGTTTTTTAGCCTCGATTTACATTTATTTTAATTTTGAAAGTCTTTTGTCATTCCTATACAAGACAAAAAGATCTGATCTTGTTAAGTAAAATCTTGTTGTTAGTATAATTCTTTGAAGATACGCATACCGCGTGAAACAGTACATCCATTTTCGCATTCAAGGGAAAATTATACTCCATGTGAGCATTTTTTCTCTTCAAAATGAGTTGAATCATTTTCAAACAGATCATAATGCTCAAAGGCAATATGCCATCTACATGGCAATGCGCCATCTACTAATCTAAATAATAAGTGCAGAATCTCTTTACAGCACAGGAGAGAGCATTAGTAAAACTAAATGATAACACCTCATCTGAAATTCTCAGGAAAAAAAAAAACTAGCTCTAGACAGAGAGACAAGAACAGGGTTTCGTTAACTACACAGTCGTCATTTTTGTCACAGTTTGTTCAAACATTCTACAGGGTTCATTATCATGATGTTTGAGGCTATTGGTGGGTGACACTGGTGACAGCCTCAAGATGAGCTCTGTTCAGCTTTTGGGAATAAGACTCAGGTTTCGAATATTAAATGACGAAGTTGTGAATTTTCCCATTTAAACCATGTGAATGTTCACAGTTTGGTCGGAAGATCTACCAAGCCGATTTTCATGATTTTTGCGGCTACAGATACGAGATAGCACCTAAATGAGTCTGCTCTACTTTGATTAACTCACAAGGGCCCACGAAGGAGTAAGACTTAGTGCCCGTTATGTATCAAAACAAAGGAAAAGTTATGAAACTTCTTTACGCGGCAAAAATGTACTTAAATAAAAAAAAATGGAGTTCTCATAAATTCAAAGACGGGAAAACAGAAAAAAATAAAAACTTTCTCTTACCTCCATGTTGGCACCAGCTAAAACCGCAGCTCGAAGATCACAGCTCCTTAAATTTGCATTTTTCAGGGTTGCAACTCTCAAGTTGACACCCGCCATGTTGCTGCCTTCCAAGTCAGCACCATTGAGATTAACGCCTGAAAGGATTAACGTTTTTTAAAGATAACGAAATACAAATCACCTTGAAAATGCATTTGGATACTTTATTAACATGTAAAAAACCTGGTCTGATATGGTCTAATTCATCGTCTCATTTTTTGACAGGAAACTGGCCCTATTTGTTTCGAATGGGCATAAAAATAAACATCATGCGTTTCAAAAAAAGAAATAAAATACAGAATGTTGGGGTTTTAAACCCCTGTCGTTGAGTGCGTCTACCGCAATCAGTTTGTAAATAAAATACCCCCGCACAGGATTTGGAAATATCTGAAGTAAGTACCACTGGACAGGAAATTTTATAAACCTATCTTTGTAAAATTATTAAAATTGTCACCCTTCAGATCACCCCGATGCTTTTAAACTCTGCCTCTCTTTTGTCCTTCTATAAGCTACTATGTACTGAAATTCGCAGAGCAAGGTGCTATCTGACATTCTTTTAAAAATGAAAGAATGGAAACTTTTTTGATATTTTTTCAAGGAAAAAAATTAAATGTTCCCACTGTTAAAGAAAATGATATGCTATTTATGAAAGTTTTTGCGAAGAGATGCAAAGAATTTTTTCTATGTCCGATAAATTTGTCCTACAGATCATTTAGAAACACTTTGGACCTCCCGTTAAATTTCAAAAAATTTCTGCACTTTTTGAAAACTTTCAGACCCACTTCACAAACTAGAGGGTTTTCTGAACTTACAGGTTCAATAGACACCCTGCCTGAGAGGCCTCAATTTAGAGGCAAAAAAATGTGGGCATACCTTCCATATTAGCACGGCTTCCTGCTGGATCCTCAAAATAGCAGCCTCGCAGGTTGGCAGATTCTAGATTAGCGCACAACATTCGGACGCCAAGCAATTGAGCACCTTCCATCTGCGCATGGGAGAGGTCTGCTCTTTCTAACCAACACCAACTGAGATTGGCTCCATTCATTCGGCATCCATGGAGACAAGCATACTGAAAGAAAGAAAATATTCATGGTAAATAATTAAAATTAGGGTAAACACTCACCGTAATGTTTAATGGAAAAAACTTAATTCTTCCGGCGAAATTTTTTCTTTCTTTTGCAAGCAAGCAAAGCAGAGTTCAATTGCTATTCTGCCAATGATGGAATACTATTATAAATTGTAATCTTCTTTCATTTTTCAACATAATGGTTTTTTTTTTTTTTTTTTTTTGTCAATGAAACTCTTGTAGTTTTGAAACTTCTTAGATTTAATTCTGATTTCAGATCAGATTAATATTTTTGAGCGTTTTCCTCAAACCTTCTGCAAGGTTAATTTCAATTTTGCATTGAATCAATTTTTTTTTAATTTATTATTATTATTTTTAAATGGCAGTATATGTGAATTTTTCTCTTGTAGAGTGGTATAAAATATTGGTTTTGACTTATAAAGCTTTGGGACTTAGGGTTCCTTTCTTGCTTAAACTCTTTTAAATCACTGACATTTTGATAAACCCTAATTTAATACGAGCCTCATAAAAAAAATCCTGACATTATTCTCTCATTGTTAACAATACTTTCACTATCTGAGATAATTCTTGCTTGGATAGGGTGATCCATAAGTCCACCACCACCAGTAATAGGCATCATCTCAGTTACTTTTAAAAAAATTGAGATACTTGAAATTTTGTGAGTGTTGTGTAGGTCTCTTAGATCACCTTAAGAATCCAAAATAAAACTTGACGTCTTAAAAATACAAGAAAGGCATGTTCCACTTACTTTGAAATTGATATATCTTAGATCTAATCTTGATAAGTCAGCACCAGCTAAATTCACACCTTGAAACCGTAGCTCAGCAGTAAATGGTGTAATGATCAAAGCATTGATCACATCTCTGCGAGTTAAGGGCATACTATCTTTGGTTTTTTTCTTACTAGTAACTATGCTTTCCAGTTGAGGTACGATAGATTCGATTCCGAAGAAACGTGCCTCCTCTAGGACACCCTCAGGATTAACATGCGAGTCGATTAAGAGTTGTCCATTCCTCAAATAGTTAAGAATGGGCTCGAAGTAAGTGGGGCTGCGATCGATTAGGAAAGCCCCATTCTTATCGACATCACTAGGCGTCATCCGATAGCCTTGTTCATTCTCAGCGAACATTCTGTAAAAAAAATCACATAAAAAGTTACAGAATATAATACGATTGAATCTTGGGTACAGGACATAGTGCCCATTGAGAGTTGATTGAATTTTCAATGAGATAAGGCAACGTTCCCTGCCTTAATAGTAGTGATATAAATACAGGAAAAATTCATAGACAGGAAACTTTTATGCTTGCACAAAATACGAATGATGAAGAAAAAATATTACAAAAGTTGAGGTACTACCACCTTTTTTTTTACTTGTATGCATTGACTAAATCAAATAAAAAACATGATAGGTCCAAATTTTTTCTGTCTTTGTGAAGTGAGGATATAAAGGGAAGAAGTTGTCTCAAAGCTATTACCTCTATACCAAAGTGTTTCTAAGTATAAACTAAAAATAGAGATTGCAAAGAAGCTGCTTGTGCCAGCTTTCACTCTGATTGCATTTAATTTCAATTCCTGCAATTTTTTCTCAATTGACATACTTGGCGCTGTTGGAAACATTGTTCACAATTTGATCTCTTGTAATACATTGAATGCAGTGAGTCGCATGAAGCATTGACACTTCTTCAGCAGCATTGTCAACGTTTGGCAATCAAAACTTACGATCGGTGCTCTTTAGGGAGCTGATACCAGCATCGATGACCCTACTACTGGCAGATTGTGGCTCAACTCCACAGATAACCAGGTCTGACTTGAAGAATTGGTAACTAAAGACCAAAACAAGAATTTGTATCCTTCAAAATGAAACATGCTGGGTGCATTGCTGTGTGCTCACAGAAAGCCTCAAAGTTTTGGCTTCATGCTACGTTATGACCTAAATACTTTGAAGATTGTTAAAAATGATCCTTGGGTATTATTATGAGAGTGAATTATTCAAAGAGATGCTTTTCAATATTTCTTCACATTAAATGACGATCCCAACAATGTGATAAGTTTTACAGTACGTACCTTGCCAGCATACTGGCTGGCTCTTTGGACACAAGCGTGCTGCGAGAGGTGGTAAAGTACTTCCCACCAACATTCAGCGTAACCCAATCAGGACTTGCAACTGCAATCTCTTCCGATAAAATTTTTGATAAATCTGAGGCTCCCATTGGAATAAATGCTTCACCGCGGGATACATAAAGTACATCATCATCCCTGAAAAATAATATTTATTGCTTTTAGTTTTAAGATACACAAAATCGGGGCAAATGAAAATCTAAAGAGAGATTTTTACCTACATCTTAGGCTCTTTGGTGAAGATAGATTGGCTTGAAAGGGACTTCGCTCTTCAAGCCTCATGCAACCATTAGAAATGTGTTATAGTGCTCTCTTCCAAATTACTTAGGATTGAGAATTTGCTGATGCGAAGCAATTCTAGTCTCTGACAGCAGTGCAAAAACTTCTCAACCTTGTGACTGGCAAGGCTTGACCTATCACGTGCAAAAATGAAAATTCTCCAACAACAGGTTTTGAAAATTCTGACTTAAGGTTTTCTTCAACATTTAGAATCTTTAAATAATATTATCGCAAAATATCTCTAGATAAGTATACCTGAGAAGTTTGATGTCATCTATTTCTCCACCCTGCTTGGTGAAAAGACGTCTGGCTACAATTCCAAATTTTGAGCTAGCTGCTGCTAATAACTCATCCAAATCGTGCGTCACTAGTATCACCTGAAGGATGGAAGGTAATGACATTGAATTATTGATAAGAGTAAGACATACCTATGTACTAGATTGATTTCTTACGAGTAAAAGATCCTTTCAGGGAGAGAAAATTTGCTTGTTATTGCGCACACACAATAATGCAACAAGACACTAACATTGTTAAAAATTTTATTGGTAATTTTACACAACTCGCAATGATGATAGGAAATCAATTAGCAGCTTTGATTCCGGTAAATCACTTCTGATTCGTTGATTTACTGATTTTTGTTAATATCTTACTTTCATGTTTTCGCCGCTCTACTTTTACAGGGCATAATGAAAGGAGTGGCCCAATTTTCTCAGACAAAATTATAATTTTTCATGAGAAGTTCGAAGCGCCAGGATAAGCTGATGACTCCATGCAAACAAATTTCTGAGTCAAAAGTTGAAAATTACTTCGAGTAAAAATGAAGTGAAGAGATAATCACTTCAAGAATTGGTGGAGAATTTTAAGAAAATTTGAGAGAATGCGGAAGCTTGGAGGATTCAGCACCCCTGGAAAAAAAATACTATACTTTAAGAAACGTAAACGCTCCTAATTTATGGTACAAAAAGGCAGTAGTGGGGCATGATTCGCTTTTCTAAATTGAATGCTGCAGCTCAAGTTTCATACTTTTTATACAGCTCACTGGAATACACACAAATACAGAAGTAAATGAAGAGTGTGCAATATTCAGTGATTTTAAATAGTTTATGCATCTTTAAAATTTCCTCATATGTGCGAGGGAGTACCTAGGTGGCTACACTAAGTAATGATGACACTTAGAAACATGGAGAGAAGTCATACCATACCTTCCCATCAACTTCTGAGCCATTCATAAATAATATAATTCGCTTCATGATGAGCAGTCAGTCGAGCAATAAAATTAAATATGGCTGGTTAAAAATTTAAGGAAAATATTAATGGAGCACAGCTTTACAGAGCTTGCAGTGACAATTGCGGAACGAAGTTTGCAAATAGATTGAAAGCAGGTGGGTGGGGCATCTTACGGACTTCACAGCGATGAAAAAAAACACAAGTATAGAAAAACTACAATAAAACGGGAACCAATATTCCTTTCCGGCAGAATTTGGGAGTGCATAATAAAATAAAAGTTAAAAGTTTCGCGAAGTGTTTACAGCAAGCTGATTAGCATGTTATGAACATGTACAATACCCCCTATTGACATGTATGAATCATAACACCAGGTTTACCAATCTGGAACAATTCACGACGTTACCTAATTGTAGACCATAATTTATAATTCTTGTGTAACCATGAGAAATTTCGGTTCTTGCAACGAAATTTATCAAATTTTGAGGTATTCTAAAGTTTTTGTGATTTTTTAATCCTAAAAATCTCCCCAACAAATAATAAATTTGATTTTCGATTTTCCTTCCTCTAAGCACTTTGATAATGCCTTTGTGCAACAGTTGTCAAACTTGCTTACATTTTATTTACGCTGAAATGTCCACTGATCGCGATTCATTGGAGGATTTTGCATTTTTAGATCGCTCAGTTTTGCTCTCAATTTAAGTTTTTTGCAGGCGGATTTAACTGTGATTGAAGTCATGAGTGACCGGGAAGATAATGAGAAGAAACCGTTGCTGCGGAGTGGAGATCAGAGCGAGTACAACTCAGGTAACACCTTATCTTTATTCTAACCTAAGTTTTTGTCCAGCAGGCTCTCTGGCTATTATGTAAACTCTGACCAACCCTTCATTAGAGCCAATTCTTCACTATAGTCCTTGAAGCATTGATATAAAAGCTTCTGCTTTTCTGCTGGAAGAATAATTTACCTCTCATCACTTTCATTCGGTGATTTATGTTCTTCGCAGCACTGGTTTCAAGCCCTGACAGGAGTGACTTTCTTCTGGAGACCGAAATGCTTTGTCAGTTTTGGCCTTTCCTGTCAGAGTCTCCCTATGCTGTTCAAGCTCACGTACTTCTTGTAGTGCCAAATGTTGCAGAATTTTTTTGCATCAATGAAATCATCTCCAATCTCATCGACAATTATAACAGCGAACCTTGACAATGCAAAGGTTACCCATCCCAGGATTAAGTTTCTTGTAAACCTGTTGGAGTGCTTGCTCCAAATCATTGTGTCTTACCATTGGTCATGGTATGTAAGACCCAAGGTAGATAGCCAACTCTTCCCGCTCATCACCCATCACTCCTAACGAAGCATGCCTTGATCGCCAGACTAGTCAGCGGACTTGGAGTCTTAAGATCTATTGGTATCCTAGTCAGGGTTTTCTTTAGTCCCCTTCACATATACCTCTTTTGTCTGTAGTTTTTATATGAGAAATCAAAACTGATGAATCTAAGAACTTGAAGTTGGAAGGAACTTCTGTTGCTGGAGTTCGTTCATTAGCTATTGGGATAGTAGTCAATCATTGTCAATGCACACACATTTCAAGGCTTATCAACAGTGAAACAACAAGCCCCCTTATCTTGGTTTGCGATAGTGCAGACTTCCTGTCATACTATATTTTTTCAATGGAAAACTATTCGATGTCAGTTCTTGAAACCTTCCATGATTTTTCCTCTTCATACAGAGAAAACTCTGAAAATTTCGAGGAATGATATTGATCGGGTCTCCTTTAAAAAAAGAAAGTATGAGCAGAGATTTTTAAACACGGCAAACAAGATATGTGGTCTGGTAGTTTCACTGTCGATATATGAACCTGTTGAGTAGTGCTGATTTTGGGCTAATCAATGACTAACTTTCATCTTGACATAAAAGTAAGTAAATATAAGCATAAAAGACCTAAAAGCATGATCATTTTCCCTCAATGATCTTCAACTCATGAGAGCGCTTTTTCAAGCAAAAAATTATTCTCAAGAGCTCTCAGACTTTAAGCAAAAAGCAGAATTTCTTAACAAGAATGCAATGAGTTTGTTGTAGTTTGTCTTTGCGAAAGAGGAGCACCCTTGTAGAACCTTTCTTTGATCCTTGAATCTGAACAAGTTGGTATACAAGTATTATTCAGTCTTGTGAAGGCTCTCATAACATCTGATAAAAAGAATAAAAAGTCAAGCAAGTCAATAATTTGAATTTTTCCAAGGGAGAAACCCTGACACTTGTAGAGACTCCCTGCACTTACCTTAAATTTGCGCTTCCTTGTCGTATAACGTTGTCAATCCAAATCTCTCCCTGTGAGACTATCTCAATCTGCAAAGTCATGTTAGTTTAGTGTTGCATTAACAAATGAACACTGCAGCAGTGTTGCCGCGACATTTCTCATGAGACAGGTAGCATAATTGCTGGGGGATGTATCAGTGTAAGGTCAGAATTTGCAAAGAAAAGTGATCGTACTCTTTTTTTTTCAAGCAGAATGTCGATTTTTATTTTGACCTCCAATACTTCAGTGACTTCTTTAGTCCATGTTGCCTTGTACTTAGTTCTTTCAGTGATGATTGCAGCAAAATTATGGCAGTATTTCTTTAATACCTACTTATTTCACGAAACTGCTGTCAATATTTTCAGCCATATTCCCCAGAGACACTCATTTCTCGCTCATAAATGTTATTATAAACATTAATGTTGCCATGTCTGTGAAATGGAAAAATCAAATGTTTGTATCATACCTACTCAATTAATTACAAAAATTTCAATGGAATCAAGATATGAGGGAGAAAACTAAATTGTATTTTACCAAAAAAAAAAAAAAAATTAATTGAATACATATTATACAAAAAACTGTTGAATCTGTGAGTGTGAGCATGTCTGAAAATTTAACTTGCTGTCCTGAGCTAACAAGTCTGGTGTTGATTGGATGTAAAAAATAAGGAAGGAAAAGATAAAATTGACAATGAAGTGTTACAAAATTATTCTTTCATGCTATCAGGTCATAACAATCTCTCATTAAATTTTTACCTAGAGTCACTTTTGTCTGATGAAATATATGGATAATTCTTTCCTAGGCTCTCTTTTTCAATGCATAGTACTTCAGCACTTAACTAACAGTATCAATAGGCTGCACTTAATTTATAAATTTTTCAGTTTCCTGCAGTTCAGTATGTTTTCAAATTTTAACAAATTTTGTTAGGTACACATTGTGATAGGTGTAAAGAGTGTTAAGTGTCCATCATGATTCTTCCAGAGAGCAGACATAAATTTTTTCTTCAGGAATGTAAATTGGGTAGGCAAAAAGCATTTCGCGCTATGGATATCTCTTTTTACACCCTCATAGAGACTACTCTTCAATACAGTTATTGAGTATCTGTCTCTGTCTCCCACGCATGTATGAATCGATACATTTTAATGGCTTTGACTGTGTGCTGTACTGCAGCTTCCCCTACTAAGTAATTGATTTATCCCTGAAAAAAGCAATGTCAATGTATTCTGTTATAATAGTTCTCCTCAGTTGCCACTGTCTCAATTACTTACTGCCCATTTCATCCAAAAATTGCATTTTCTAAGATGTACCACTCTAAGCTTCAAAACCACTGTCTGGAATGTTTGATCCTGGCATACCATGAGGTCTCTTTTACTTATACCTCGATCAAGTCAATAGTCATAGTGGGAGACAACGTATCTCTATTGCAATGTTTCAAAACTGCTCCTTTTTTATTTTTTGGCCCAGGAATAAACCGATTTAATGGCTTGAAATTTATACAGAATACTATGCTAACAGAGAGAAAAAATGGGGGAAGTTTTCAAGAAATTGCATCGACCGATTTTCCAAAGAAAAAAGAAAGTATGACAGGAAGTCTGCAAAGTGGCAAACGTAGGTACGTGGTTTCAACTTTTGCCATTCATATCCTTTTTAATTCATAACGACCATGAAGTCCTAATTTTTTGCCTTACTAGGTATCATATTTTCCTCTTTTTTCTCTTTTTATTTACAAAATATTGGTGTTGTGTAGCGATGTACCTAACAAGATGCATATGTTACTGTTTCAGCATCGTTAAGGCCATCAACTGAAAACGTGAGTGATGTGCAGGTTGGTCCATTTGAGCTGCCCCCGCCTTACAATGCTTCGCAACCGGGTGGTAACCCAATGGTCACATGTAGAGTGTGTCAAACTATGATAGATATCTCCGGAAAGAGGGATCAACACGTTGTTAAATGTTCGAATTGTAATGAAGCTACGGTAAGTTCTTCTTTTTTTGTGGCTAATAATCCCAAAGAATCACTTGAGGAAGTTACTGTATTAGGTACTGTGGACTCTCATTGCTTGTTAATGAACTCTCGTTTGTGAGTAAGCGTGCTTGTTCAGTTACAGTGACTTTAAAGCATGGTGTCCAAGATGGGGAATAACTGAGAAAAACCATGATTCATCAGAAGTGAAAAATTTCGGGGAAAGTCAGTCAAAAATCAAGGAATCTGTTCTAGTAACTGGTAATCTCATCTTCTACTGCGTAAACACAGTATTGTTCTCAAATGTTGCAGAAATTTTGAATACTTATTGTTATCTAGCTTCATGTCATTGCAGCTGAGCTGCCATTATAGACCATTTGAAGAACACATTTAAACATTCAGATCAGAGTAATAGAGGAGCTTTCGTAGACCAGATAATATAAACATAACTGAGGAATGCTTAAGAAAGTAACAATTTTCATGTGCTCCAAAAAATTGGCTGAAACATTTAAACAATTTTATATTTAAACCTGAACTCGGGAGATTTATTTAGTTTTTCCAAGAATATCCTGAGAAAGTGGGAAAAAATTTTGGTTCCTCAACAGGGATTGAGCTCCTGGAAATTAGGGAAGAATCAGGGAATGAACATGGTCAAGAGTTCTAGATACCACTCTGTTGGGGCTTAGTTGGTCATGAGACTTCCAAACTTGCCAAGTTGAGGAGCAAAAAAGTCTATAGAGACAAATCTTTTGATTTTTTGTGGTGGGCTGTAAGACTAGTAAAAGTGATTTTTAACGAAGGACAATGCAGATGTTTCGTCCATACTTCAAAATACTTCGTACTCTAATTTGGTTTTTCTGATAATGGCAGCAAGAAAAAGAAATACCTAAGGAACAGAGCTGAAATTCCTGGCTCTTAAGCAACGCATTATTAACAAACAAGTACATCTGCAGCAATATGTATTCAAAGTCTATAAAAAATGTTCTCAAGAACCAAAAACATTTTTTGTTAGTTTCTTGGTCAATCTCTTCTCTTCAATTCAATCTTGAGCATTTTATTTTATCTCTCCTTTCTCATCAAAGCAATTTTTCTTTTATATTTTAGCCTATCAAGAGCGCTCCTCCTGGTAAGAAATATGTTCGATGTCCCTGCAACTGTCTATTGATTTGTAAAAGTATATCGGTTCGCATAGCGTGTCCTCGACCACACTGCAAGAGGATAATCAATCTTGCTCCATCCCCAGTCACTCCATCTTTGCCTGTTACACCTGGCATGTGCCGAGTGTCCTGCATACACTGCGCAAATACATTTTTGGTAAGTAACTTACAGACTCAAATTCTCCTCCCCCTCTCTCACAAAAAAAAAAAGAATTTACCTACATTTTTAATTAGGTATAGCTTCTTAAAATAACTCGATAGTTTGAAGTAGAACATTCAAACTTTAAAGAATCATAATTTACAGTCTGAGATTTAGGAAAAACTAGAAGAAAAATGTGATATTGTAATTCCAAATAAATAATTCAGTGAATTCCAGTTACATCATTTAACTACATTTTTCGTAATGAGGTGAAGTAAACCAAATGCACTCTGAAACTCCAAAACCATGTCTCTTCATTTGCGACATTGCAGATTTCCTCTTATGCTTCTTTTTAAGTAGAAAACTACTCTATGTCAATTCTCAAAAATTTTCATGATTTTCAAAGCAAATTCAGAAAAAACTTTGATGATTTTTAATTTGTTCTCTTCTAAAAAAATAAAGAGAAGCTGTGTTTCTGAAACAGCGTAAACAATATGCACGGATTGGGAGTTTCACCATAGGAATGAATTGATTAAAAAAGCATTCTTGTCCTGAAGATTTAAAAATTGCTGCAAGATGAAGCGGTAGTAGGGACTCTCGATAAATGTCGACGTTGAACCAAGGGTGTAGAAACTCACTAACGATGTGACCAGCCGAGTCGCTTGTAACAAGGAAACCAAGGGTGTGAAAGGGAAAAACCTAGGAAATCCTGGCAGATTTTTCTGAACTTTTTTAACTGTTTTAGTGGAGAGAAAGGCCAACTTTTTGGGGGAAATGGTTTTTTTTTCAGGCTCTAGGGAGAATGGATCAAAAATGTTGGTTTAAATGAAGGTAGGCTGAAACTTTCATCACCTCTGTGATGAACTTTAGCTTCAGTGCTGCAGCTTTCAGATTTGCACTCTCGCATAATAATCTAGCATGTTTGATACAGATATTGGATAAGCCGCTTAATCAAAATTGAGAGCTTATCAGATTAAATTTTTACAATGTATGTAACATTCTTGACTTTCTTTACCTAGTATGTACTCTCAATTTAATTTTCCTTCTTCTTTTTCTAGTTTAATTACCTACAGAATGCCCTCGCTAGATGTCCGCATTGCCGCAAAATGTGAGTACTTTTCCTTTTCTTCTGTTCCTCCTTTTTTTTTCTTTTTTTTGCAGAGTTTCTACTACTGAAAAAACAGGAAGACCCAAAAGAATTGAATATAGAGAGAAACCAAGATTTTCTCTCAGAAGAGTTCGTTGAAAAAAGTTACATTGGAACTAGAGTTTTAAACCGAAAGCTGCCTGTTTTTCTTGTTTCTATTTTAAATTGCTATCCACACAAAATGTATGCTAATTTCTTAGATAAAAAACTTGATTGAAAATTTTAATGACAGTTGCTTAAACTTGGAAGAATTGATATTTATCTGATTACATGAAGCAGCCAAAAATTTTCACGAAGTGACTGTGAAGTATGCTGTTGAAAAGTGTATCCATTTTAACAATAGTAGGTAAGCCTAATAATATGTAGAATAGTATTCTGTGATAATGTAGTTCTACAAGGGTTTTGCAAGTCTAAGGTAGCTTTTTTAAGTTGGCAGCAACCGTAGTCGCAGCAGATAGGTCAAGTTACACCTCTGCATGGGATGCGTCTTAGTAGTTAGGCAGTTATTTTCGGAAAATTCTGTATAGAAAATACAGAGGAAACACAGATAATTGGAAAATTGGAAAAAGTAGAACCCCTGTTATTGCAAAAAAACGCTTTGAGCTTTCCAGTGCAATGAACTTGATGCATGAACTGATTTCATGAATGTTCCTTAAACATGTGGATAAATGTTTATCTAAAGCTATTTGAAAAGTTGGTTCCAACCATTTTGTCATGGAAAATTTTCATCAATCAGTTGCTGCTTAAAGATTTCTTATTTGTTCAAAGAACATTAGTAATTTTATGCCCTCTTTCCCACTGTAATATTCATTTTAAATTTTTTTGACAGCTCTTCGGTCGGACCAGACTTTGCTAAGAATAGAGGAACCTTATTTTTAATTGTTGGATTTATCTTTCTTCTCCTTGGAATCGGCGTCACTTTTGGAACATACCAATATGCTAAGGGACATGGTGGTGTTTATATTACTTATGTTGGTAAGTATCAGATACTGATTATTACTCCTGTAGCCTCTTGCCATTTTTTTCTCCTATGATTAACCCTTTGATTGTCTTCCGTATGGTTCCGGAGATCAACCTTTTGATTGCTTCTAAATGATTTGTCAAGAAATGCCATGCTTTTTGACAGGTCAGAAGTCATGATCTTCTTTGTCTATATTTCAAGCGAACGAAGAGGCAAAATATGTGGAAGTCACCTTGATTTTTGAAGTTTTTCTGAATTCAGGAAGAATGGAGATTTGTTGTACATACATCTGTAAAGTAATTCTTAGCTCTTTCTCCTGTCTTGGAAAGGTATGTGTAGATCTAAACCAGGTTTGTAGTAGCCACAACGTAACCACTACCTCCTTTGTCTCCTCAGACTGCTTTAATGCTGGGTAAATGAGACGTTGTCTGTAGATAAAATGATTCTTGAGGTAGCAATACAGATTTAATTAAACAACACAATACTGTTCAGTAAATGGTACATGATTCTGCTTTCAAATTGTTCCTGATGAGTTCTTTTTAGTAATGCGCATAATGGGCCTGTTGCTTCAAAGTTTTGCTAGAGCAAAAGAGTTGTTTCTCACAGATAATGTCTCAAAAATCACGATGAGCGCATCGGCAAAGTCTGAAATGCACTTCTAACTTCACAATCTGCGTAAGAAATTTGCGTTTTTTTGAACTTCCTGCTTAAAAAACGATACCACGGCTCAGGCGAACATTTTGTCAGAGGAGTCGTTCCATCGTCGGCAATATTCATCATGGCCGACACCAATCCGCCAAAACATGTGTAATGGGACGAGATAACACCTGACCAGGATAAGACCAGATAACAATCTGCGTATTTACGTTCATATTTTCCTCGCCCGCCCTGATTGACCTTGATCTATAGTCGCATTAAGCGTGGAACTGCGAAAGCATCGGCCATGATGAATATTGCCGACGATGGAACGACTCCTCTAACAAAATGTTCACCTATGCTGTAGTATCGTTTTTGAAGCGGGAAGCAAAAAAAAACGTAAATTTCCCGCTCAGATTGTGAAGTTAGAAGTGCATTTCAGAGTTTGCTGATGCGCTCATCATGATTTTTGAGACATTATCTATAAGAAACAACTCTTATTTTTCCTCTAGCAAAAGTTTGAAACATGCCCATTGAATTTTTACATGTGGTTTTAAACTCACAAGAAGTTTTTGGTAATTAACAAGCTGTCAGTTATTGTTAAGTCAAAAAGCCACGAAAGCAAGAAATTAAAAGTTTTTCGCCCACATTTTACGATTCTAATCAAAATTTACAATATATATTGAATTTTCAATTAAAATTTCTATTATAATAAATTTATTGCACTGCAGTGTATCTTTTCATGCTGATTTTTTTTTATTCATCTCAAATTCGAAAAGAATAAATCGTTTTGCTTATGAGCTTCCAACTTGCTCAAGTGCTTTATTAAAACTTGCAGTAGCTAACCTGATTCTCTGAATTTTTCCAGGTGCATTCATTATTGCCATTATTGCATTTTGGCGGAGTATGTATTACTATACAATGAAGATAAGTACAATAGAAGGAGCTTTATAAAACATTCATCGTACATATACGACAAGACATGATTAGGAATGAATATCATTGAACATAGGTAACTTGTGATTTCTCTGTTTTAGCTTAAATGTATTCTTGGGCTATTATAACATTTTATCCAGAAAAGAAGTCCTCAAATTAATAATCAAGCAGAGTATTTGTGGGAGCCTGAACTCCAAATTTAAGAAATAAGGAAGAATATAGCACTGAACATTTCCAAAGTTTTTTTTGCTTACTTAAAGCCTTTCAATATCGAATTGAAGCTAAGTTATTTCCAGGATTCTAATCGGAATCGTGTGATTAGTTTAATTTTTATAGCCTAATGTATAGTTCTATATGTTTAGTATTAATACTCAAGTTTTTGGAGATCAAACTTATTCAAAGTATGAATACATATGTGTAATACAAGATTTTCTTCCAAGGCTTGAAGTCTAAAGATAGAATATCAACATTGAAACAGCAAGAACGCGTGTCCTGGTTTATGACATTGCAGACGTTATTTTCCGCTTGAAAAACAACCCCATGCCATCTCTTTGAAACTATGATGAATCCTCTTCCGTGTGTGAGAACCGTTCTGTGAAAATTTCAAGCTATGATAGGATCCTTTAAAAAAATTGGGAGCGCAGATTTTGACACGTCCTACCGAGACATGCGTTTTTACAATTTCACCAGTGGTATTTTATTTCCATAGTTAATTTCATTTAGTGGGCATAATAGTTATTGGTCTGCAAACGAATTTCATTCAAATACAATGGAAGCAAGCTCAGTCTAAGTTCCCCATGTAATTTACTCTGCCCGTATAAGAGGAATTTGTAGTCACGATCTTTTTATTCTCCCATATCGTTTTTGTTATTTTGTATCCGCATTCATGTATATCTATAGACAAGTATGTACTACGTATAAGAAGAATACCATTAGCCTTTTCAATTTTATTTCTCTGAATTTCATAGAACTTTAGAACGAAGGAAGTCGTACAAAATATTATCGTAAATTATCCGGATGGTTCGAAAATAGGGAGCTTTTTGCTCGAGCTCATGTCTTTTTTTGCTGTGAAAAGGAGGGTCTTTACTTTGCACTCAAGTGCCTTAATTTTTTTTTCATCATCGTAATTAAAAGTTATAAAAGAAGAATTATTGAAGAGATGAAATCTTATCACATGTATTCGTATTAGAGACCCTTGAGTTTTGTGATTGAAATTTTCTAATATTTTGAAGAAAGAACTTAACATGTCATCCCTAATTTTTGTGAGGAATGTAACTTCATGAAGAGTTTTTTGCAGAGTAAATCTAATTATTTTATCGTTTTTTAAGTGATTGTTGTCATAATCATCTGTCATTTGAAGGTTTACATGTTTTTGCTCCAATAACTCACTTCCTGAATTCTTAACCTCGCCATCAACCCTTATCTTTTGCTCATATTAATGTAAAGTCATTAATCCAAAACAAATGTAATCTGATACGAATGTATAGCTTTCCTTGTAATTTCCAATTTTGTCATCCGTGCTAGAATCATCACTGCTCTCATGATCAGGGCATCGATTAAAGAAATTCTTTCAAACAGAAAGAGCTTCACCACTATAAGATCTTAATTGGATTCTCAGCTTATGTTTTCATGTTTTTTATCACCATTTTTTTTTTTCTTTTTTCTTTTTCTTATTTATTTAATACTATCAATACTTATACTCTCCTAAATTGCATGATGAGGCTTTTTCAATAAATATTTGTCGGAAAATTGTCCTCTCATTTCATAGTATTATTTCTTTTTACTTCTTTTCTGCTTATCCACATTACTTGAGTCCTGTTTTTTGTATGCTGGGAATAGTTAGCGTAGATATCAGAAGAGGTTACTGCAAAATAAATCTAATTTAATCAAGTTTCCGTAGCAAATAGATTCAACTCATATCAATGCATCCACTAGGAAGGAGATGTGTGACATTAAGACAAGTGATACTTTATCTGCTTCATTTGCTTTTTAGTTGTTAACTTTACCCGTACAACACTTGTCATGTAAATCTCCATGCTGATTCCATTAGAGAACCTGGTTTTCGCTTTGAACGGTATTTTTTCAGCTGGTGCAGAGCACCCTTTAGACTTCCTTCAATTCAATCATCAAGTATATTTATCTCAATACTGGGAGGGCCTAAATTTATATTCTATGCCCAACGGTTCATCCTTGCTCAGTTAGTGCTCATGAGAGCTGTAATTCAACTTTTTTAGACTTATCATAATTAAGCGGACACTTTGAAGTGTATGTATACATCATTTATTAATTCATGCACATCAGTTTTTTATCCATTTGCAATTTATGCAGATATTATTCTTTACATTAATTGTCTAAGAAATAACACCATCTGATTGATATTTTTGTCAATTAAACAAGCTTTCCCGTACCGCAGCATGAAGTCAATAACAATAAAATGTTTTTCGAAGGAAAATTCTGTATGATTGTAGGGCTGTAGCATTAAAGTATTCACCTCTCAGTAACTTTTAATTTTGTTGCAGAGTAAATGTATTGTGTCTACTTCTTTGGAAAAATAAGATAAATGCATATCTCAATTGCAACATTTTAAAATCTCAGATTTTGTTTCATTTTCCGCTCAGAAAACTTATTATAATGCTTCTTTGAAATTTTGTTTAATTTGTTTAGAATGAGTAAAGAGGTACCCACAAAATTTCAATAGAAACTGCTGGTCAGCTTTCCTTTAAGAAATGAAACATAAGGGGAGATTAACAACGGCACAATCTGAGATGTGCGTTTTTAGACCTCAGGCATTGATATGTAGTTGGTCTTACTTTGAACGGTAATTTTCTAAGTGGAGTGCCATCAACTTTTCTGGAATTTTAAAAAAATAACCATTTCAAATTCTAATGCTACTAGCAAACACAAGAATCCATCTCTGTGCCAGCCCTCATTTTATTCCATCATTGATCGAACTTATTTTCTCCTACCAGAGTCTTGTGCATATTTATGCAAAATGGTAAATTTCATTGAATTTTTTACATCGAGCAGCTAGTGTGTCTGTAAATGAAAATTAGTTTACTCACATTTACGTACTTTATCTTCCAAAATTCTGTGTATTTATCATCATGAAAAATGTGAAAATAATATGGTGGATTATGGATATAATGGTGGAAGCTGAAACAAAAGACAAGTACGCCTAAGTAGACCAATATTGTACATTTTAAATGAGCGAGCCGTTTTCTTGCTCTAATTCTAGTATAAGGTTTTATTTGTGAATTTTATCTGACTTAAATTAAAATAGAATGAAAACATGTCAGCAAAGTGACACATTACTTTCTAAGTGTCAGGTCAGTTTAGTTCTCTTAAAATGTTGTTACCAGTTCAAAGGTAAGATCCTTCCTATATGAACAACACTGCTCTGTAATGTTTTTTATCCTCTCTGCTGGAAGGTGAATAAAATGTCTACCAAATGAAGAATTTTTTGGAAGAGACAAGCAGCCTTCATAAAACTTGTCTGCTTCATAATTTAAGAAATTTTACTGATAAGTTAAGAGACATTAAATGGTGAACAATTGTACAAAAATCATTGCGACTTGAGCTACGAGGAGCCATTGAATATCACCAGCAAAATAACTGCAAACAAGCCTACTATGCTACAAAAAGAGTTATATTCTCTTGTTTGCTTGTGGAAGAATTTATATATGCAGGGCTTACCGTTCATCGGTCTGTCTGTCTCGTGTTAATAGAACCCGTCATTTAAACTGCAATAAAAGCGTATAGCATTCCTCTTTTCTAATGTAGCTTAGTGACTTCGATAATTTTGAACTCAATGTTTCTTCTGTTAAATTTTTAAATCCCCTGAAAAGAGCCATTTTAGTTACAATACAAACGCAGTAAGTGAAGCTCTAATACTGACTTGTCTCTTTACATCTCTTGTCATATAATTCCTTGATGAATGGGGTAAAATTCAACAAAGGCATGAATCTCAGTTTTTTTTTTTTCCTTTTGAATTTTAATTTTTTTTACCTACTTGTGTGATATGTAAGATTTAGCAAAATCAAGAGCTTTATAAGTATGAGTGTATATCAGTGTGCTCTGTTCTGTCACAAAACCACAAACAGTGCATCCATTAAAGATCGCAAAAATAATAAGAAGGAAGGGAAAAAATTAAAAATCCCAAACCTTTTTTCTTTGCCTCCAGTATGAGACAAATTATTATCATGCTCAAACCTGCTTATTTGATATCGCCAGTTAATTGCTCTTGCCGTGGCAAAGCTAATTTTCAAGGAAAGTGCCAGAAATTCTGTTATATTAAGTCGCCACTTTTCAAGCGAACATTCAATTTTCCACATGATGAATTTAATTTTTGTCGGGAACTCTATGGTTTTTGAAAACGTATCTATCAATGGGTTTTTGATTGAGGAAATAAATTACCCCCTTGTAATTTATAATTGTGATCTATGAATTTTATTCAAATTTTTGTTGTTTGTAAAGCATTTTTAAAAACTATTTTTATTTTTATGTAAATATATACCAATCTAATTATTATTCAGTATAAAATTACATGTATGCTAATTACTGAAGTTTATTATTTCATAATTCTCAAGTTTTTTACCCCTCGGATGGATTCTCACAACCATTTTTACAAGAAATACAGAAATAGAAATGATAACAGCAATCCTTTAAAAACAACAGATGGAACATTTTGATAGAAGAACGCAAGTCCTACCTCAATCAATAAATTGGATTATCCCTCAACCTTTCGTGCTAAATTTGTTTCTCTCACGAATATTTATTCAGCTTTATTTTGCAGTTTGCAGCCTTTCGAGCATTCATGAAGTAGTAAATTAGATTTTTTTTTTAATTTTTTTTTTTTAAAAAAGTTATCTTTTTCCTTTAAAGAAAAAGTATTAGTAGTTTACATCTTGGAACTCTGCTCCTCTCCCAGCCTCTATCGACTTTCATTTCCCATCTGTTTCAACCAAACCAGTCGATCACTTTGAAGTATACCTCAGCATATAACAAGCTATTGCTAGAGTCCATGCCAAACAAGTTTACGTACTTATCTACGTACTATCCTCTAATGCTCAACTGAAGACAGCTGATCTTCCGTTGAGCATTGGAAGTTGGTGCAAGAATCAAGATGATGAATCTGCTATTGTACCCTAGAAGTGCGTGAAGTTGCTTTGTGTGGACTCTTGTAGCTAGGGCAATGGAGGCGTTGGATGCAGAAATGGCATTTCTCAGTTGCGGTGTTTCAGAATCTCCTCTGCTAATTTATATTTCAGAGAGGAAACAATTGGGTGAATTTTCTGGAATTTTTAGTTTTCAGCATTGTAAAATCATGAAGAAAATTTGTAAACGTTGTAATGAATTCCATGCATTTGCTTTAATTATAGTGGATGAAACATTAATTTAGGTCCTGAGACACTGCACCCAAGAAATGCCCTTTCTGTACCCAGCGCCCCAATTGAATCCTCGTATGCGAAAAAGTCCGATGTCCAAGACAGTGTTTCAGAATTTGAGTGGACAATTTCGTTGTAACTTAACGACACAAGATGGTTTACGACGATAGGAATGTAGAACAATTTTATAAATAATCCTCTAAGTGTCTTTAAACGTTTACAAAAGAGATGGATCCTATTTATCAGTGTTGTGGAACCCAAAGAAGAACAAAAGAAACACACCGGAATTATGTACTGGACAATGGAGGTTATTGCATACATCGATTCAATTAGTCTCTCCACCCTTGTTTCAGTAATATATACTTTTATTCGCTGCGATTGATATAATCTTGCAACTGAGCATTAGGTGTTGAAAATTTTAGAGGACGCTGTGCATGGGTTGTTGGGCTAAGACTACTTACAACGGCTGAGTAGACAAACATACAATTTTTTTCTTCAGAATTATGGTGTCACGAGTGCTGAAATGTCTCGTAACTCCAGTTTTCAGTGTCTTTTTCTGTTTTTCTCCAGTCATTAGCATGTCCAGGATTCGGGCATCTTTGAGGGGCTTGGAGGACAAGGTGCATATAAGTGCAGTTTTTAAACAATTTTAAATGTTAATGATTTTATTTTTTTTAGTCTTAATGTCTATCCTGTGGCAAATACATTCCCCAAGTCAAATTTTTTAGCATCAAAAAGTCAGTTTCAACTTTCTCTCCTCCATCGGGATCCGTGTAATTTTGAAACTTTAAACACAAATTTTTCTTGAAACAGCAAAAACTGCACCTATGCGCCTTTTCCTCCAAGCACCTCAGTTCCGCTTCAAGTTGTGAATTTCCAGCCCTCTACTCGCTTACTTTTCTTTTATAAATCTATATTATATTCGTCTTCTTCATATTTCATCCCTTTGAGTGTCCTACCCAGGACTATAGGATTTCACGCCATATCATAACACACCCCTAAATGCCCGCTAGCACAGGGCTCCAACATAAAAAAGAACCGCTAAATTCCAGAATAAGGAGGTGCGGACGGCAAAGCAAGGTCTAAAAGAAAATAATAATAAAAAAAAGGATTTCACGTTGGTTACCTGGGTATGAGCTCAAAAACAAAAAGTTGGAATACTTCGCATCTGAACGCACTTAAACAGTGGCTTCCTTTAGCTTACCAAGTTTCAGTGGCAAGGGGTACAAATAAATAAGATACCCTGAAGTTCTCAGGAATGTACATAGCCTTTTAAAAGATGTTAAGATGTGCACCGTTCCAAAGATGTTTCATTTTTTCCCCTCATGAACCATTTGTCTACGGATGGATGAGAACAAACCTCGTTGACCCCGCCGGAAATTGACCCCTTTCCCCTCCCGTCCTAATCGTAGTCATATCCGTGTCCTCGAACACTACGTCACAGCTGACCTCGAAAGCACTGTACTTTCTGGACGCCATGCGCGTATGCACTTTGATGACTGTACGGACTCTGTAAAGGGAAAGATTTTAGGAAGCCTTAAGGAACGTTTAATTGTGGCTGCGAGATCTGTTCCTCATAGAATTAAACGAATGCTGCAGTATGGATTAAAGGTCATTATTGTTGATCTTAATCCCATGTAGTTGACGTCACAATATTACGACACGGAAGGTTCCAGTCATCAAGGGGGTACCAACTGCGAACCTCTCGCACTAAAATACCGCAGACGCTTACGTAAACGAAATCATCAATTTTTTCACTATTGACTGAGCTTTTTTCTTTTGACCCTTCAATTATTCATTTATTTAAGTGCTTGGCTTCTTGTGGATTAAGACTTGTGCGTTTTTTAACGTCTTAATTAATGTTCTTAAATTTTTCAATACACTTTGGTTCAGTGTAGAGAAGTTTGTCAAGTTGTCAACTTGTAAAAGAACAATAAAATTACCCAGAATTCATTGTGTGGAACTACGTTGTTTTGTTTTTTACTTGCCTAATTATTTTATAGTCAAAGTCAGTCTTCAGCAGCAATCGTGTTCGAGTGATTACGACGTTTTGGTTTTTGTGAAATCCAAGTGAAACTAGTGCGTCCTACTAATTTTCACCGCATTCGTAACCCTATTTTCGTCACCATTTCACGGACAGGTGTTAAACTTTGGTGTTTCAATCATGGCTCTAATTTGTAGTAGTATTTCTAATAATATGAACGTTTTTAGTAAAAGTGTAAGTGACGATGATAACGAGATGATGGCTACGCTGAACAACCAGTACTCCGTCAACCTGCGTGCAGGGCCTCTGTGGTGCTCCTGATGTCGCCCATACTGCAGGATTAACCCCTACGGCACACCATAGAAAGGAGAGCTATGGCGGTGTGGGTGACATATTCAAGCTCTCAGAACAACGAGGCAAAGAAATCGTTCAGGTAGCTCGTCAAAAGGGCTATGTGAACATCCAGTTCAAGCTCCATCTGACCGAGTCGAAACTTGATGTGTGGAAAACTGTTTTGAAAAATGGGATCTTGTACCTAACAATCCCCGATCATCTGCTTCCCGAAGGATCCAAAGAGGCTTTCATTGCGCTCCTTGAGTATGCTGAGGAGGTGCTCCACTGCACCAACATCATCATGTGTGTCAAGAAAAACCGTGAGGATAGGGCCTTATTGGTCAGAACGTTCATGTTTCTTGGATTTGGTATGATGGCTCCCGGCAATCCACTCATACCTCAACCGGAAGATCCAAACTATCTCTATCTTATCTACAATATTGAGTAAAAAGTCTCTCGATAAACCTATGTCTCATAAATCCTAGCTTTTTTTTCGGCTGACCTTCACTTAGTATGCTATCAGTGAAATTTCCTCCATTCTTTCTTTTGCACCCTCAATAGCCTATTTTCAATTTTAGTGTTCGTAAAATTATCAATAGCATCAAAATTTGCCATTTCAATTGTGTAACGTTTTAATCGAAAATATAGTTTGCTTATTTTTCTGTGAAACCATCATGCCAGGTTTTGGATCTTGTTGAGACAGCATACTCAGCTCTTGTATATACCTATGTCAAGTTTATCCATACTGAAGTTTATTCGTCCTGTATTTTCACGTAAGTTTATTTTCAAACATTTATTTTTCTTTTGTAGTGAGTAGAATGCTTCATATACCTATCAGAACTATAATTGGCACAATTGTGGCTGTTAGCAGGCTCTTAACTTTCTCATCCTTACCTTCAACTTATAAGATTTTTGACAGAGAATATTTCTTCTTGGTCCATCAAAAAAATTAATTTCTGCTCGTTCTTACTGTCATTTTATAGTACTTTCAGTTCTTGCTGCAAGATGACTCAGCTCACCATAATTCTGACTTTTAATGTCTCACCTGTAATCTGAAAAAAAGGAAGGAACTAACAGAACTACCGATGTGTATTGTAAATTTTCAGGTTGGACGATCATAGGTATTCAGGTTTGTGAAGCTGAATGGTGTCATAATGTGAAGTCATTCCAAATTATTAATAGTTAAAATCATCTCTTTTACACAATACATGGATTTTACAAAGAATTATTATTCCTCTCCCAAGCACTGTATCCAAAGGAAGTTTTATGATACAAAGTTTCAGTATTGAAAAATTCAGATGCATTTATTAGAGCTTTATCAGTTGACCTCTCCTCCTGGTATCTTTTTTTTTTTTTTTTTTCAATTTTCATCTCAACCTCCCCCTCCCCCCCTTTCAATGCATCACTAACTTCATTAATTTATTAAATTAAATTGTGAATTAATCATCAAATCCAAGATTTTCCTCATCCTACAGCACATTTGATTATTATTTTGTTTTGTTTTCTCATCTGTTAAGTAAATCCTGCTTGGATGTAAAAAGTTGGAATTTCCCCGATGTATAAATGAAAGTAAGAACATCACCATTTTTTACACAGAGATGAGCTGAGCATTGTTTTTTGTTTCCTGAGCATTGCGTTATCAAGGATTGTGTTATGAAATTGATTTGCTTATCTTGCAGTAAGAAACCTATCAGTAATGACCTGTTGATTTCAGCAATAGCTTACTTTTCTAAACTAATTATCTCAGCTATTCAACTGAAGGCTTGCTGTTAAATTCTGATTTTCACAAAATTTTTAGATTTTTAATTTTAAATTACATTTTATTCATTACTGACTTAGAATCGGATTTTATTAGATCGAAAATAAGAAATAAATCAATTTATCATCCGTCTAATCTGAATATAAATGTAGCAAAATGTGTGTAAGTAAGTAGGTATTCTTCTAATTTACTCATCGGAATTTTATACTTTAGGTACACAGTGGAATTCGTTTAGTTAATTACTTTTGTTTCAATGCATTTTTTTGGCCCAAAATTAATAATGGAATTATAAAAGAAAAGTATTAATAATGTAAAATCCTTTTTTAATATCCGCTTAGAAATTTTTTCCCTTTAAATATCTAAGGTTGCTGTGTAACATTTCTGTCGTAATCAGGTAGTTTTCTAAGTACATTCTAATTTTTTATTGTCATTGCCTTATTGTTCTGTAAGCTATATTCAATGTTTAATAAAGTTGATTAAAATTAATTTAGATGTTATTTTGAATTACACACAGCCTAAAAATGCTCTAGATCAACCGACCCCTTTTATCAAGTAAACTGGATTTTTTTTGGGGGGGGGGGGGGGGGGACAAAGCACAGTCCACACTAACCTTGAGCAAATGACATTAAATTCATTGACGGTGTCTGGAGAGAGCGGTTTCATTTTCTTCATCATAGCGTATCAGCGAGATATTCCGAGTTTATTTTCTTTTTTTTCTAATTTTTGATAAAGGTTTTTAAATTGACTATGTGTGTACAATCTTGTGTACAAAGTATATCAGAGTTTTGTGAAATAAGATTATTTCAGCATTGCTAGGCAAAGAAATTTGGGCATGTTCAAGCTTGGTGAAATTTCTATCCCTTTTATTTAAATGTAATTAATATTCAGTTTTTTATTCATATAAGTAATTTCTTGAGGGAAACTATAAGCAGCACACTTTCTTGAGCAAGATATCGATGGGGTAAGTCCGCAACAATGTATCTCATTTGCCGTGTTGTAAAATCTCCGCTCTTTTTTACTTTTTTCAGAAGGAGAACAAGTTGACATTATTACTTGAAATTTTCACTGTTTTTTTTTTTCGTACAAAGCAACAAAGCAGGAAAGTCACGGCAGTTTTTAAAAATTTCCCTCAAGAAGGTACCTAGTTTACCATTTGAGAATGAAGTATCACAGGAAGTCTGCAACGTCGCAAACCAAGATACGTTGTCGTGGACTAACACCGTCCGTATGGAATATTCTTATCTGTAGTATGGTGGGATACAAAACCGCACACATGTAGCTTAAGAAAGCAACAACAAAAAAAATCCAAACAAACGACAACTCATTAGAGAACCAATTCAAAGGATATATCATGCTCAGATCCTTAATTGTTTTGTAATATTGAGGGCCGGCAACGTGGTAATACCTTTAAATAATGCTTTTCTCCGAAAGTTGACAATGTCGCGATGAAAATGGTTCACTGCTTCGACACAATAAGCATCGCTGAAATTAATTTACGGTGTAAAAGAAAATCAAACTTTCAGTCAAGGTCGCATGCGACGCATACCAAACGAATTTCATTAGCACGCCTGGATACAACTATTCGGGCTCATTAGATGTCCGTGTTGCCTACTCACAGGAGTGAAGGCGCTTTGACTTCAGACACTAAACTCCTCGACCCAGCGGCGCTCAGTGGAGCGAGACATGAGAGGGGTCGTACAAAATGTGGTTCAAAGTGTGGTTTGAGCGCTCTGACATTTTGGATCCTCGTAGTAAAAGCTTGCCGTTGGTGCCGCGCGGCTGCACGGGCTGCGGGTGTAGTAGTGGGTGATTGGACTGTCAAAACGCCTTCATATCCGTGCGTAAGCAACACGGGCAGCCACGGAGCTCGAATAGTTGCATCTAGGAGTTAAGATGAGTACAGCGTTCGTCGCACTAGACTCTAACCAAAGGCGCTTGGTTTTTTTTTGTTTTTTTTTTTTTCTTTCTTGTACGCCGTAACTTAATTCCAGCGTTGTCTAGTCTTGTATAAACGAAGTTATGAGCGTTTAAAGTTTCCAAATTTTTTCCGACTTCTGCTATTGACTCGATCCATTGTGCGCCGCGCCTCTTGTGCCGGTGAAGTGCTCTAATAAATGACAACGTTGCCGTCCTAAAATATGTGCTATGACCGCTACCTCCTTTGGTGTAAAAATGACGGATGCGGCAAAGCTGTCTCATGGTCACTTCCAGAGCAATATTCGAGCGTGCATTTCAACATATTATTTTTTTTTTTTTTTTTTTTTATTAATATTTTCTTTTACTTGAATAGTCAGAGGGGAGTCCAGTCTGAAATTTAAATCAACCCTCTGTTAACTCAGAGCCCGAAGTTCCTGGAAAATATCTTCGTTCCCTCCACGAAAGAACGTAACTACATTTCAATTTTGTCCAATTCCCCCGCAAATCGCATTTTATCAGTAATCTTGAGCATTTCTAACTGAAAATTGCACTGATTTGTTTTCTTCTTCTTTTTTTTTTTTTTTTGTGATCTTACGCATAAATTAAAAAAGTTTTACTCAAAAAGTGCACAAGTAAGCGCATGAAAAACATTTGATTGTTCGAACCAATTTCGCAACCCAGGAATGGAGTTACGTTCCTTCGTCCGGTGAACGATAATGTCTTTACGTTACCGATTGGTTCAGGAACATCGAATCGGAACACCAGTAGTTTTTCCGTGCTAACCCTGGTAAAAATTGGCAGTAGAATCTGTGTTCCTAACTATCATAGACCTACAGCCGGCTGTAAGATTTCCAATAGCTTCTATAGCCGGCAACACAATTTCTTATAGCCTTTTATAGCCGATGGCGACTAAGCAACAGCCTGGCGATAAAGTGTATGCTAAACGTTACTAATTACCTACGGATGCTAGGACTTAGTGAGGTTTTGGACTACCGCTCTCTTTTTGGGCCGCAGTATCTTGGTTTAATTTGCGAGGAAAGCTCCGTTCTTTTGAAGGATGCCTCGCATTCCTAAGATGTTAAAGCGCCTTCAATTTCGTATGATACTGTGCAATACCTCTGGTGTGAAATAGTTGCTTCAAGCGCCGCGGTACGCTGCGGCGCGGCGGGCGGGCAGCTGAACGCGCATTGGCGCCTACAAACCTGACAGGGATACTTCACGCATTGCACAATGCGTGAAGTATCCCTGTTAGGTTTGTAGGCGCCAGTGCGCCGCCGCTCCTCTTTGTGTTAGGCTCTAATATTTAATCTCGCGGAGTCAGCGTTTTTCAACTCATGACTTTGAAATGTTTGCACACTCTGTATGGATTATTCTCATTTTAATTGATGAAAAAAAATATGTAGTAAAGGAAAATATCATGTGCATTTTGTAAATATTAAGGTGATTCCGTACAAACTTAAGGCACAAGAATTTCTACTCAATTTCTTACAGCCTTTTATAGCCGATGGGGAAAAAGCAGCAGCCAGACGATAAAGTGTAAAGCCCGGCGATAGGAACTACTAGGGGGCTACGCCCCCTGGCCGCTAGGCGGCCCAACCCCCTGAAGGCGCTCCGCGCCATCAATGGGCCGCTTCGCGGCCCTATTTTTACCCTCCTATCAGTGTTAGTTTTATTTTTCCTCTAAAAAATTACGATATGAGGTATACTTTAACTTTAAACTTTACTTAAAATTACTTTAAAATTAAAAGGACATGTTTTGGAATGACTGCTTGATGAAATATTGCAGTAAAACAATCAACAATAATAGTCACAAGGTAATATTTAAGATTTCATGAGTCGGGGATCGAACCCATACAGAGTTAAAAATGGACGTAATCGACGTCTTAGACAACTCGGCCACCGCTCGTCATGAGATCGCGGGCGCGAATCTTGTGTAGATAAGTGTAGAGCTGATGCGCAGGCTACACAGCTACTGCGCATAACCTCCTCGACCACTGCGCATCCTCCCGCGCATAGCGGTAGCAGTACCGGAGCATTCTGTAAACTCACTCACTTTTATAACGTGATTTTAAAAACACCTGGGTCTTTTTTCCAAAATCTGATTACAGCGGGCTCATCTAGGGCCTATTACCTGTCGATTTACGCAAAAATCATGGAAATCGGCCCGGTAGAACGGTCAAACGAACTATGACAAAAAGTATAAATTTACATTGTTTAAATGGGAGAATTCGCAACTTTACCACGTAATATAAAAAAACCTGGGCCATATTTTGAAAATCTGAAAAGAGTTGGCTTATCTAGAGACAATTGCCCGTCGATAGCCGCAAAAATCATGAAAATCGGCCCGGTAGAACGCTGGAACTAAGCGTCACCAGTTTCGCAAAATTAGGAGGTCTCGGAGCTTATAGTATAGATAGCACGGCTGTATAATTTTTTATCGCTTCGTGTAGCCTGGCCATATGATTTTTTCCACTTTCTACAGCCAGCTATTTGATTTTCTATCGCCCTCTTCAGTCGGCTATAAGAACTCCTATGGTATTTTGAAACACATAGCTCCTATCGCCAATTTTTACCAGGGAGGATAAACGCAGTATGAATAACCTTCAGGCGTTACCATATTTTCTTTGATAAAACACGAATTTCCTGATACACCCATGAATATTTTCGCTCCAATTGTTCAGATAATTTTGTTCGCAATTTCACCTTCAGTTCCGGAAAATTTCAAGAAAAAATATACACGACTTTCCTCAAAAATAAACATTTTATCGAAGGAAATTTGGCAACCCTTGAATGTTCATACTGCGTTCTTCCTTAGCACGGCAGTAGACAGATTATGAGTTTTAACTCGGAGTACGCATAACACACGTGATGCTAAGCTGCCTCTCTACTCGATGCGGTTTTCCGCACCTGTGCGGTTTTACGCAAGCGTAGGAGTCCAGCAAGGATGCTCCGGTAAGGTCAGCAGACCGCGTAATAGCAGGTAAGTACGTTATTGTACCGTCAGAAGATCACCACTTACCTAACCACCGATTCCGTATCAAATTGCGGCTCCCGTCCTTAATCGTCACTCATCAGATTCCGCTGCCTTCGCGCTTCTTATGCACCGTGATGATGAGTATCAATAACGCATTCGTAGTTTCGTATGAAATCGTTCTTCATACCTATATACTCAAATCACCTGCTAGCGCTTCACTCACTTCTCATGTGGATTGCATTTTGCAAAAAGGAACCACTAACATTGCAATGATGCTAAGATTGTGCAATTTCATCCTTTGCAATAAAATTGCGGAAATTGTGAAAAACTATGAAATAAATGGCAATTTTTGTCTTAAATTTACAGTTTTTAGCGAGTAAAATAGAAATTATTAAGGGATAATCGGGGTTTTCCTCCAAGGCAAAAGAAGTTGCACAATCTTAGCAACATTGCAATGCTAGTGGTTCCTTTTTGCAAAATGCAATCCATGTAGTCTAGCGTCGAGCTTGAAGGTTACGGATCTCTGCAGGCGGCTGTTTATTGATATCCATAGCCAAAGTTTCAGAGAAAAAAGACGACAGGAATATTGAGTGAT